GACTATGGTGATGGCACATGGGTGACTTGGTGATTAAATCCCCACGAGGATTACAATTGAGATAAAAAAAGTAATGTACAAAATGATGGAAAAATCAACTATTATATTAATAAAAAAGAAAAAACAAGATTTTTTCTAAGCCACTAAACAAACTATAGCCCTACATAAGCAACAACAACAGAAACTAGTGATGGGGGAGAGTCTGGTTTTCAGGGTTGTTACATTATAATATGCAGAATGTTTGATTTTCAACAAAAAATTCTGAGACATACAAGGAAAGAAGAAAGTATGTCTTATTCATGGGGGAAAGTATTAATAGAAGAGACCTTTTTAGGAAGCCCAGTTAGACTTGGAGAATCTTTGAATCAAGTGTCTAAAAAATGCTCATGAGTGAAAGGGGCCTCCCTGGTTGCACAGGGACTTAACGTCCCAGTGCTGTCAAGTTATCACCAGCCACTATGGCATTAGTTCGATCCCCAGCCAGGGAGCTAACCCACATGGTGCAGCAGACCTCTCCTGTCTCACCCGCTGTTCCCCTCACAGTGTATTTCAGTCAACCTGTCTGTTCTGCTCCCGACTCTGTCTCTGGTAAATCCTCTTCTCTCCATCTCCCTGCGCACTGCTGAACCTCTGACCTAGACCCCAGTTATTGTTTGCATAATTAAAATAAAAATAAATCTTTAAAAAAAAAGAAAGTTCATGAATGAAACAGAGAATGTAGTTTCCCCCAATAGGGATTAAAAACTACAAAAAGGAAACCAAATAAAACTTCTTGAGCCAAAAAATATAGCAAAAATAAAAAATTGACTAGAGGGGTTCACAGCAGATTTGCTCAGGCAAAAGAAAGAATGAATTTGAAGACAGGTCAATTGAGATTGGCAAGTTTGAGGAGCAGAAAAAAGAAAAATGAACACAACCAAAGAAACCAGGGACACTCACTGTTAAGGGAATCAACGTGCACATACATAATGATCTTTGCAGAAATATTGAGCAACGTCCTCCACATCCCCCAAATCATTTAAAAACAAGCGTCTCAAACATCTCAAAATATCAAGACGCTTCCAAAAGTCATGCAGACTCCACATAGGAAAGAATAAACAACACTGATCCATGCTACAGTGTGAGTTAACATTTTAAGTGAGAGAAGTTGGACACAAAGACCCTCATATTGAATGATTCCATTTGTCTGAAGTATCCATGATAGACAAGTTCATAGAGACAGGAGGTTTTGTGACAACTTTTAAGGGAGGCAGGGAGTGGAGAGGGTGAAATGGAGTAGTTGCTGCTTAATTACTTTGGATCCTGAAAAATGTTTTAAACTAGATGAGTGATGTTTATCCAACATTGTGAATGACCAAATGCCATTGTTTTGTTCACACTGTTAAAGTCATTTAAGATTGTGAACTTTGTACTATATGAAATTGTCCTAATAAAAGGTGCTATAATAGTAACCTATCTGATAGGGTTGGTGAGGACTTAAGTAATAAATGTTACATGTTTTATTAGAGAACCCAGCATTAAATACTATTTTTACTTGGCTAAATAATTTATATTCTGGAGTTTAAATGTGAACTTTCATTTATCCTGGAATATAAAGTATTCAGTTTCTTTTGAAATTTGAAAGAAGTAGTTAAGATATATAAAATTAATAACAGCATCTTATTACACCAAAGTTTTATTGGTTAATGAACAAGTCCTGTTAATTATGAGTCAGTAGAACATGTGGTATATCTATAACTTTGAAGCCGTAATGTTTTCTCACAAACTGCTAAATTTGGCAGAAAGAACCTGTTAGGGAGAGACGAATCAATATATAGTTCAGTGTGGCATAAATGTTCTTAAATTACTGAGGTAACCTACTAAATATGTAACTGAAGAATCCTTTAATCTGTTTGACACTTTGTATCATGAAATGTGACTTTCTCGTTCTTGGTTAGCCTTTTCTTGGATTGTGGTACAATTTGCATTTTTGAGAAAGCTCAGGACTCTGCAGGAAGATGTGTAAATGCGCAAATCTATTGTCTGTTTAAAGGGGTTTTATAGATCATTGATGGCTTACCTAGAGATCTCTGGATAAAAGCTTTTTGTAAGACCAGAAGGTAACCAAAGCAGTACCTCCTTTCATATACAAGGGAAAAGCCACCATTTTCTAAGTTCATCTTTGTGTCTTAGTCTTGTGTTTGTGAAAGTCTTTAGCTCATTAATGTATGGCAACACATTCTTTGAAAGCTTTTAACTAGGTTTATGTGCAGACTAACTGGCCTTGAAACAGATTCTTGCTAAATAACTGATTCTTACTAAGTAACTGGGCACTGACTATTTCTTTGACATTGTGGGGGAGATATATTGGGGGAAGATGGAATTGGGGGAAGTCTGGTAGGGGGCTTGGCGGCAGACAGTGTCTCTTGCTTTTGACATAGACTAGCCCAGGATGAAGTTTTTCATGAAAATATGAGTCTTTGTAAGTAGAAGTCTTATTAGAACTCTTAGGAAGAGCGTTGAACAAGGGGATTACAAGAACTGTTTTTTCAGGTGATTTTAAGTTTTTAGATTTAGGAATTGAATTTTTTTTTTAAAGATTTATTTATTTATTCATACAGAACTGGGGTACAGGCAGAGATGCAGAGGGTGAGAGGATTCACCAGGTACAGAGCGGGGAGCAGAACAGGCAGATCGATGAAGTACACTGCTGAGGGGAGCAGCGGGCGGGTCAGGAGAGGTCTGCCGCACCATGTGGATCTCCTCCGGGGCAGGCGGGGATTGAACTCATGCGGAAGTGACTTTAGCTTCTTAGTGCAGTGCTTTAACCCACTGCACCACCAGGGAGGGCCAAGAATTGAATTTTTTAGGTGACTTTAAATAATCACCTTAATTTGTTTAGGAAAACTAAAAGATAAGTTGGCATCTTAACTTGTCTTAAACAACCTTAATGCAGTGATTTTAGTTGAGGTTTTCCTGTACTAAGTAAGTTAAATGTTTTAAGTTATGATTTCTGGGTATAAGAAGATACAGAATGTTTTAGAAATTTATAATTTAACCTACTTTATTGTATTCACTGTAGTACTGTTTATTTTGTTGTGACTACTAGTCCAGTGAATGAAAATGAAGGAAGACTATATGTTTCTGGACACATTCTGGAACAAGAAAAAATCACATTGTTAACTTATCCTCTTAACTTAAAATTTGAAGATTTGATGCCTTTTTCCTTTCTAGGTGATGCATGAACCATTAAAAACTTGGCAAGATGCACCATACATTTTTATTGTACATATTGGCATTTCATCTTCAAAGGAACCATCAAAAGAAAGTTTACTCAGTAACCTTTTTACCAGTAAGTTTATGTCACTTCTTTTTCAACATTTGTGTTAATGTTATGGAGTGGTGTCTTGCATGGTGAATAGTCTGAAATTGTTTTGAAAGAGTGAATAACTCATTAAGAATGTAGTGAAGAAAAGAAATTGAAAGAGAAATTAACATTTATCTGCACCCATGTGCACCACACAGTCTCTTACATTGTCTATCTTTATTATGTATCATAGATACTAGATTTCAGTTGCCATCATTTGCTGCTCCTGCTTAAAAAAATTTAAGTTGGTGTCATGTTTTCAGTCGAAACATGGAAATTTGTTAATCAATTGATAACTTTTAATGTCTCAGTTTTATTAGTGTTCTCTTTTTCACTCTTATTGGCCATTTTGTGGGTCATTATCTCTTACTTGGAATGTTGTCATGACTTATTAGTTTATTGTTTTGTTTCTTCTCTCTCTTTGTAGTTTTCTTCTCTCCCCTACTGTCTCAAATAGGATATTGAATAGAAACTTGCTCCTGGCTTTACTGGCAATATTTCATCACTAAACACTAAAATGTTTATGGTAATTTTTCAAAATATTCTTTACGTGGTTAAGGATATTCCTTTCTATTGCTAGTTTACTGAGCGTTTTTTGGTATCAAGAATGAGTGCTCAATTTTGTCAAATGCTTTCGCTTATAGTGATTAATCATAGATTTCCTCATTTGTTAATTGATGCATATATCAACTGCTTTTCTAGTGTTAAATCATTCTTGAATTTCTGCTATAGCACTACTTGTCTTGACACTGCTGGATTCCACTTTCTAGAATTTTATTTAGTTTTTTGTCTATTTTCAGAATAGGATGGGTCTCTAGTTTCATTTTCTTATACTGTCTTTTACTGCTTGGCATCTAGGTTGTGCTAGGCTCATACAGTGAACTGAGGAATGTCCCCTTTATTTTTTATATCTGCAGAATAGTTGTGTAAGGATAGGAATACCCATTCCTTGAATGTAGAACTCACTTTGACAGTGTTTCAAGCTGTTGTCTCCCGTCCTTCCCTCTCGCCTTCTCCAGACTTAAATAATTGATTCATTTTCTTTAATAAACATTAGCTTTAGATTTTCTGTTTTTCCTTGAATAGGGGTTTCGTTTCTTTTTCAGGGGGCCAGGGGAGGGGGAGTGTATTGCACACTTCATTCAATATTTCAAATGTATTGGCATGAAGTAATACTGGTCTTTCTTCATCAGAAAATATTTGTAGCCTTTTTTATTCTCAGTATTGCTTTCTATCTCCTATTTTTAATTTCTTTTTAAAATGTAGTTATTATTTTTTAAATTGAAGTAAGATTGCCTTGCATTCCTGTTGGTATTTTGGAGTGTGGGATCACCTTCTCAGGTAGAGCTACCATAGTGCAACCACCCCCGAATCACCCAGTCTGCCATGTAGTCCATTGTGCACGCTACCCTCCTGTTTTTAGACTCTTAATAGAACTTCAGTTTTTATCCCAGTGAATCTGCTTTGGACTTTGTTAATTTTTCCAGCTATTTCTTTGTTGGCTAATTAGTTTCTACACTTATCTCTTTCACTTGACTTGATTTTACACTTTGATTTTTTATGAATTCTTGGGTGTAATGGTTAATTCCCAACACATAGTAATGTGGGCTGTAGCAGGTAGAGGCAACCAGTGGGTGGCCTGGCACAGTTTATGGACTTAAAACATATGTATATCCCCTGTGTCTGTAAGCCCATGTTCTACTGACTAGTGGTTTCAAGGAGCAGTTGTCAACATTAATTTTCATCTTCTTTCTTTAAAGCGGTTGGAAGAGCAGTCCTTCTCTATTCTAGTCCAGCTTCTTTGTGCATCACATCTGGCTCTGGATCCCTTTTTGTTAGAATCCTGTTAATTTCCGTGATCCCATAGGAACTGCTCTTTAACTACTGTAGCCTGCTTTAGAGCACATTCCAGTATTACCATGGATTCAGCCTCATGCACTGTTCTAAGTTTATGTTCAGTGTTGATATTTGGAGACGTTAGACATGTTTTTGAGCTTTATGTCTTGTTTCTTTTTTTATATTTTGTCCATCTTCTGTTTAGAGCTAAAAAGAAGGCACATTAAAGCATAGGCTTAACTACACCATGTGAAAGTCCTAGAACTCTCATTCTAAAACGGTTTTTATCTTTTTTTCCCTTCATTAAAACCTTGACTGTCTCCCCATTGCCTATAAAACATCCACATTCTGGAGCAAGACTTATTAAAGAAAATTCTACAACTTATTCAGCTAACCCTTCATTGCCTTATGTTAAAATGCAGCTATGTAGTACTCTGCAGTCCCAGACTAACATGTTCTTTAAATATATCATGCATTGTCATACCTATTTTTGTTCATGTTACTTCCTCTGTCCAGACAATCTATTACTTTCTCGTTGAAAATGCACACATCTGTTTGGACCTAGTTCACAGGGACTCTCTGTTGCTTTTCAAGTCTTTTCCCTTCTAGATGGCATGAAACATCTTACTCATCTTTCCGTCAGGTTTTCCTTAGTGCCTGTCACAGAGTAAGTGTACAGTGAATGTACATTATAGTTAGTACAGAGCAGGGGTCAGCAAACTTTTTCTTAAAGGGGCAGATCATTCTCTCTGCCAACAAATACCCAGCTTTGCCTTTGTGGTACAAATGCAACCATAGGCAATGTGTAACTGAGTGGATGCGGCTGCTTTTCAGTGAAACTTTTGTTTATAAAAAGTACATGACGGGATTTGGTTCTTTTGCTATATTTTACTGACCCCTAGCATAGAATAAGCAAAGAAGGTGACAGGTAGTTACTACTTAATTTGGTCTTTAATTAAGAAGTTCTGCTATAAAATTTTTATGGCTGCTATTTTGGGATGGTACTTTTGTTCAGATAAATATTGGACCTCATTTACTTTTAATAATGGTATGTCCTTTTTTACCTGATGAGATCAGTAGGAAATTTTTGTTGAATAGGCAGTTTTTAGTTTGTTTCTGGAACTATTAACTTTCAGATAAATCAGTTTTTTATTTTTAATCATAGCTAGAATTTACCCAAATAGATTTATTAATTATATTTAAAAAATAGTCATAGATATGCTTTAGTATGGAAATCTGTCTCTCAGATTGTTGTTATTAAGCACTTATTGAAAGTCATACATTTATATAGCAAAGACAAAACAAAAATAGGCAAAATAATATTAGGAAAATATAGGTAAGAAGCATTAGATAACCAAAGGGTGGTGGAATGAAGTTCTTTCTCTTCAAAGTGATGTAGTGTTAGGACAAGTAGATATGAATGTGTTTGGCATTTAGAGGAGATGGTGCATAGTTTCAGTTGGGCAGTCTGGAACTACACTGTCTAGTTCTCAAGGTTGTGAGCTTGGGAACAAAGGGCCTTTCCATTGCAGATAGTGGCCCGTGAGAGTCATGGGTGAAGGCCTGTGTGAGACAGAGGATGAGCTATGAGAACTCTTGAATTTCAGAGTGTTCTGCAAATACAAGGATTGTGACCAATGAATTTTTTGTTTATTTCATGAAACAAATATCAGACAATGTTTAGTTAATTTCTGTGTCCTTACATTAATTCTGAGGACTGTGTTTTGGCAGTGACTGTTGAAGTGAAGGGTCCCTATGAATACCTCACGCTTGAAGAGTATCCATTGATGATTGTAAGTGAAATCACATTCTTTATCCTCAACATTAGATCAGTTTAACTTAAAAGATTGTGGTTTGTGGTAATGTTCTTTTTTAAAAGAAGTGTTTCTGAGTAGTCCAAAAAATATTGCTGCTAGGTTCATACTTCTTAGTAGAGTGTGACCTTGCGAGGGTCAGCAAACCCCCTGTACCTCATTTTCAGATTTGTAAAGTGAAGAGATCAATGGCTAATGGGTTTTTTGAGTTAGAAAATACCTCATGGGACATATTATATCACATCTCATATACTCTCTAGGATCCAAAAGGGGGACTTAAGAGTTCCTCACTATACTTGAAAAAAAAAAAAAAAGAAGTTCCTGACTACACTTCAAGTCATTAAATGAAACTTCTTTCTTCTCAGTGTGTATTTCTATCTGGAAATTTCCTTAATCTGTTTTCAAGTTTCCTTTGCGATCTTTTTTTCTTTTTCAGTTCCCTTTTTTAATTTTCTCATTTTGTCATATTTTATTACCTTTGGATATATATTAACCCTGGCATGCTTTTTCTTCTCTTCAGAATTGTCTTTTTATAATTTTCTTAATGTGAGCTTAAAAAACTTTGATACAGAAGAACATTTACTCTTAATGACAAGTCCTCAGTCTCCTCTGCTTTAGAGAAGATAATTTTTCATGTTAGTATTGAATTCCAAAGAAAATAATACTTATTTTTAAAACAGGAGGTATACTATGTTATTTTTTAATAGTTAAGACTATGTTCTGACTCTAAATTGGCTCTTACTCCTAATGCTTCTTTTCATCTCTTTCCCATTTGGATGACAGTTTTTCATGGTGATGTGTATTGTATATGTCCTGTTTGGTGTTCTTTGGCTGGCATGGTCTGCCTGCTACTGGAGAGATCTCCTAAGAATTCAGTTTTGGATTGGTGCTGTCATCTTCCTGGGAATGCTTGAAAAAGCTGTCTTCTATGCAGAATTTCAGAATATTCGATACAAAGGAGAATCTGGTACGTAACCAAAAAATGTTTCTAGTTTCTGAGTGACTGGTAGAAGAGATGTGGCAATTTTCCTAAAGTCAGCAGTCACTAAGTAGATTTAACTTTTCAGTTACTTAATTACTGTAATTGCTAAAGCAGAATCACTGTGGTTGAGACTTGATATTTTTAGTCTTGTAACTAATGGGATTAATGCTTTAAGAGTAATTTTACTGAACGATATTCACAAAAGTAACTAACAGTGTTGACCATTTGAGAAAGATTATAAGTTACTGAATCTAAGCTGTCAGTGATTTTTAAGGCATCATTATTAACCTACACATAAGAAAGTAAATACTGCCTATTTAGTTATAAGATAGCATTGCCAGAAAGAAAAAGAAAGATACCAGGTGGTTTACTCATAGCAGGAGTGTAAGGAATCAGGAGTGGGGGGGGGGGCGGAGAGGGGGAAAATATATGTGTGTATAGATAGATAGATATAGAGAGAGACATAGTAATTTTAATAAAGCAAAAAAGAACATCAACTAACACCTATTAACCAGTGACATACTATGGGGGGAGGAGAGAGGAACAGGATCAAAATGTGGGTGGGAAGAACACATGGGATTATGGTGACAGCACATGGGTGAGTGGTGGTGGGAAGCCCACGGGGATTACAACTGAGATGAAAAATGTACAAAATGAAGAGTAATGTAAAGGAAAAAAAGGATAGCATTGCAATATACACCTTGATTTCAAAGATGTTCAAATGTGGGAGTTTGCATCTAAGAATTGGTAATATAGAAGGGTGCATATAGTTTAGAAAGGTGAACAGATAATTATAATAACTGTTTTGTAAAGAAGTTTCTTGTTGTAGCTACAGTTGTCTCATCAGGCCATTTAATTATTAACAACTGTTGTTACAAGATATACTAATTAGAACTTTGTCTTTGAAAACACTTGAAAAAAGTAGATGTGAATATAAGTAGAAAACTGTGTGTGCTGTGTTTTTCTATGTATAGATATATATATATAGAAGTAGAGGGAAAATCCTCTAGATGCTGTAACTATCAAGTGTAGAGTGAAGTATTCTGCTGAGGTTTTAGGGACATGTGGGAGATAAGGAAAGAAGGTAAATTTACTACACCCAGATTGCTGTACAATGACTTAAGCATCTTGTGTGCTTACAAAATTGCAGAAGACGTATTCTCGTTTTGTAAAACTAGTATCAGTGTTTGCTCTGAAGAGCACTTGTGCACTTTCTGGGTCTAGAGTCTTGCCTTTTCCCAAACCTAGATTACAGCACCCTTTCCCCTTCTTTCCAATAGTCCAAGGAGCCCTGATCCTGGCAGAGCTGCTTTCAGCAGTTAAACGCTCACTGGCGCGAACCCTCGTCATCATAGTCAGTCTGGGGTACGGCATAGTCAAGTAAGTATGAACTTTCTGTGTATAACAGTGCATTGAAATGCTGATTCTGTTAACAGTATTGCAGGTTCCCAGTGTAGTAGTTCTGAAACAATTGATACGATTTCTGAAATAAAAGATATCCGAAATTTTGGAGATTTATAAAAGTTGGATAATGTTAATGTCTCACTTCACTACTTAGAATTACACTTCTGAAAAATGTAGTGAATGACATTGAAACACCAAAATTTTGGGTTAAATTTATAAGGATTTAACTCTTCCAAAGTATTTTTGCAAATCAGATATTTTATAGATGACAATCTTGCTGTATAGTCTGAAAATAATTTATTTTTATTCAAAAAATTTTATTGAGTTAAGTTCTGTCCTAGCCACTAGACCACCAGGGAGCCGTGAGTTAAGTTCTATATATGAGACATTGTTCTACTTCTTGAGATACAGCAAATAAATAAAAGACTTGTGGAGGGAGAAAACAACCAAAAATAAGTGAGTAGAATATTAATATGTCAGTGATAAGTATTGTGGAGCAGAGAAAGCTGGGAAAGGGTATAGAAAGTGGTAGGCAGGAGGTGAAGTTTGTAATGGTAAATAGAGTGGCTAAGAAAGGCTTTACTTAGTGACATTTAAGCTAAGATCTCAAGGAAGTCTGGGAACTCTGAGCATCTTGAAGAAGGCGATGTGAAGACTGGTTTGGGTTTTGTATATATTGAGGAGATAAATCCAGCATATTATCTGATGGATCAGATGTATGATGGGAAGGAGAAGAAGAATGAAAGATGGCTTTCTGCTGTTTTGGTCTGAGCAAGGGCGGGACTGGTGTGTTGGCGGTTTGTGAGTAGAGAGAGTATGCGTATGTTTTGGCAGATCTTAGGTGTGATAAATTTTAAATTTGAAGTGGGAACAAGAAGTGAGGACAAAGGTATAAATTTGGGAGTCCAGGGGATGTAGTTATTTAAATTACAAGACTGACTGTGACCACCAAGAAAGTCAGTGCGTCTAGAGAAGTCACAGAGCTGATGATAGCTTCTTTATAGTAGGGTAAATTCTCAATGATAAAAAGTTGTGTGTTTTATTTTTAATATAGCAATCTGGGGGCAGATTTATAGTTCTAGTTTTCACTATCTTGTTTTGAGACCATAATACATGTTCTTTTGAGGTTTTATTTGCTCAGGTGAATCAGGTATGTCTTGCTTACCTGTTGGCCTATAGAGTTAATACAAGTTCCTGTTACCTGGGTTGTCTGGAATTTGTGTTTTTGTACTCAAACTGTTGCTTTGCTGCTGCTTTAGGCCTCGCCTTGGAGTCACTCTGCACAAGGTTGTGGTGGCAGGAGCCCTTTATCTTTTGTTCTCTGGTATGGAAGGGGTCCTCAGAGTTACTGGGGTGAGTATTACCTTATCTTAGTTTTCATGGTCAGTTCAGATAGATCGTTTTTACCATGAGAGGGTGAATTGGAAATATCCGGGCTTCTTTACTGATTCCTCTAAGTCACCATTGGATTCTGATTTTCAAAATGTATTTGTAATTCATTTTTCTTTTCACTATCAGAACTTTATAAATGTCATGTGTGACCAGGAATGAATGCTTCCCCACCTGCCCCAAGTTGATCTTTATTTAGTTCTTCCTCTGGGACAGTGGCTCTCATTCTTGAAGTTGCAGACATTATGATCATGCACTAATTGGTTAGTCTAATTTTTGTTTTCAAGAGACAGTAGTTTATAAGCACTTGAGTTTCAGAGACTCACTTAATATACAGACTTTTGAGAATTACATGACTGCCAGGAAAGGAAATGAAAGCATGGAGATGCAAGTGATAAATTAATGTTAATGTGAAATGGACTTCCCCAGATCTTTCTAGTCATTATTTATTTAACAATGACTCTACAATAACCTTAGCTTCAAAGTGGTACATGGCAAAAACTTGACTTTGCCTTCAGGAAAATTTGGTTCAATAATTTTTTCAGTAAGCTGTCCCTTATATAAAACACTTTTACTGATATAAATATGATTTTCAAAATCACACTGTATTCATTATGTAATTTCCTTAGACTTTTAGCAACTTTAACCCTCTGTCAATTCTTTCTTCTGCTGCTATAGTATTTTTCTTATCCCTTGACTCTGATAGTAAACCTGGCCCTCTCAGCAATTGATGCCTGTATTATTTTATGGATATCCTTTGAATAATATCCTGGTAATTGGGGAATTAGGCTTATAAATAATGTGTGTGTATAAACTTGTGCAAGTTTTGAAGATAGATACTTGCCTTACATTTTATTTTGGAGTGAGAGGGTCTTTTTAGATTTGTAGTGAAAAATCACAATAGGAATGTTGGGGTGGGGTGGGGATAACTATACCATGATTTTTTTTTTTTTTTTTTGATGTGGTCACTTCTTATCATGGATCTTTGCTCTGTAATCCTGGTGGTCACCTCTTATTTGTTACCAGCATGTTTTACCGTATTGAACTGTAATCTACATACAGTTTGTGTAAATGCTTTCAGCTGTGTATTCTATGCAATGGCTTGTCAGAGGGGAAGAAGAATGTTGGTTTCAAGCATTACTCATTTTTATTTTCTAATGCAAAACCATTCCAGATGATTATGAAAATGCAGAATCCTGTGGTGGTTTCTTCTCTGTGCCTCTCTAGACATCTCTTTTTTACTACCTCTTTTTCTTTGTCAGCAGGCCCAGACTGATCTTGCTTCCTTGGCCTTTATCCCCCTGGCTTTCCTAGACACTGCCCTGTGCTGGTGGATATCCTTCTCATTGGCTTCTTTGATGGCGGTTCATTTTCTCCTCTTGGAGATGGGTTTCCATTGATCTTTCTGCAATGGGTTTTTATATTTTTGATGATTACCATTTAGTCTAAGGGGTAGGATGTTTTCAATCTAACAGGCTCAGACAGCATCAGAAGTTGGTGATTATGGATTGAGCACAAGAGAAAAGCCTCTCACCTTTTTTTTTTTTTTTTTTATGAACATTCCACCTTGATTTTGGACTCCTTTGTGCATCCTGCTTAGTATTAGAATCACTGGCTATCTGATTCTGCTGTACCTTTCAGGCTCTAGCAATTGCTAAATACTTTGAAAATTAAGAAAAGACTTTGATTCTTAAACGTAGCTTCAGGAACTATAGAAAACCTTGCTTCAAGTTCTTAAAATTCTATGTAGATTTAGTAGACTTTAACCCTTAAATGTTGTATATCCTCATTCAAAAGGTGACTTAAAATTGCCTAAAGACTGCCACTGTTTGAAATTTTGATTTATAGCCACAGTCAACCTGACTAACAAACAAGTTCCTATTTCAGTTATCTGTTTTCTTCTGCTTCTTGAAATTAAAATTTATTTATTAAGAACTTGACCTGTTGGGTGAAGGATTCAGGTTTTTGGACCTTTGGGTATTATTTTGAATTTGTTTTGGTTTTTGTGTATTTGGTCCTATGTACAATGCAACTATGCAAAGTTATTATTTTGATTGACTGTGATTCTTACAAAAGTGGAAAATGAGAAAAACTCTAACTTTGTGAATTTGAGTGGATTGATACATACCAAAAATGTTTGCAGTTGAAGTGTCCTGATCCGGACACTTTTCTGGATCAGTATCTTTCAAATGTACTTTGCAAATCTCTGTGAGTATTGGGAGGAGTAGAGAGGGAGGTGAGACTGGACCCTATAGAAGATAACCTAATGGTTAGTGAGTAACCAAGGCTCTGTCAAAGGGTAGACCAAGATCCAACTCACTCATCTGCATGTAAGCTCATTCTGAAAGTTGGCTATGAGAGCAGATGCCATCTTTAGTGGACAAGTTCCCCTTCTGTCTTCCTATGGTAATTTCTCAGCCAATTATAATTCATGGTTACAGCTTTTTGATTCAGGATAGCTTAGGCAGCCATCTTGGTAGATACCATAACATAGCATGAGCACACTGTGGCCTGAGTGTATTTATGACCTTAAGCTGATTAGCTGGGTCAGTGAGAACAGAGCCACCTGCTTTAAAGAAGGAGAGATGAAGATGCTGGCCCTGGTTCCCCTGCCTGTTCCTTATTTTCATTTCCTTTTCTTCCTTTTGTCATTCCTTTTCACCTTCTTTGTTGTCGGGAGAGCTTCTTGCTGTCTTCATTTCTCTTTTATATTTTCACTTTTTTTGTTTTTCTCATTTTTAATATTCTTATTTTATCCTGGTTCTGTCTTCTCTTCAATGGCTCATTGAAAAAGAAGACTATCTTATTAATCATTGGGAGGCTTGAGGTATTGTGAGGTTAGAAATAAGAGAACAGTATGACCCCTGGGAGCTACAGCTCTAGCAGTGTGATCCCAGATCACACTCAGGAAAAAATTGGGGGTTAATTTACTAGTTTATTGTTGTTTTTTTTTTTTTTTTTTGAATGTTGATTTCCTTGACTTGCAAACACATATTTATCAGCCTGACTCAAACAATGAAGCTATTGAAACTTCGGAGGAACATTGTAAAACTCTCTCTGTACCGACATTTCACCAACACCCTTATTCTGGCAGTGGCAGGTAAGTCAGGGAATTTCTTCCTGCTGTTTAAATGCAGTCCTTTAGAACAGAGATACTTAGCCATAGGTGAACTCTTTAAAATTAAATAGAAAATTTTTGTGCATTTCTCTTAGGGAAGGAGTCTTTTTCTCAGAGAGGTCTGTGGTTCAAAAAAAAAATAATGGAGAATCACTTATTTTTAAGTATAATAACTGAATGTCAAGCACATATAATTTCGTATCACTCTCTCCTGTCTCCATTCCTTTGTTGTGATATTCTTGTATTTAGATTCCTTTTAGATGGCAATAATACTTATATATTTAGTTTCATTAAACAGTTATAAAAAATTTAGATCAAATTACCATGCTGTTAGATTGTTTTTATGTATGTCGCTAAGTATATCTAAAATAAAAACATTAAGTAAACCATAACAAGCTAGGTTAGCTTACCTGTCTCTTTGTTCCTTTTAACAGATAATAGGTCTGGTTTGTGACTAGAACCAATTTCTCTGTGTTCATTTTATCCTTTTTTCCTCATCTGAGCAGGGCCTACCCCCCATCCCCAAATTAATATTACTACACTCAGGATAAAGGAAGGGAAAAACTATATTGTTGACAATACTAGAAAAAGTCTTATTTCTAGTACCTTCTTTTCTGATGGTTACTGATGTAGCCAGATGTTAAAACCGTAAGTGCAGAGTTAACAAGAGTACCGATCATGGACCTTGCTTACAGTAAATTGTTAAGTAAATTTTTATTGGGGTAAAATAACTTAATGGGACCCAGGTGGTTGTCATATGTTGAGGGTTAGGGCTGTGTGGGCTTCTACTTCTCAGAACTGGAGTATGTAATTGGGACTATAAACTAACATCATAGGGATGTAAACCAATATCAGCTTTTCCATTTCTTGTTAGCATCTATTGTGTTTATCATCTGGACAACCATGAAGTTCAGGATAGTAACTTGTCAGTCGGTGAGTTATGAACACATGAATTTATGAACATTGAACTATCTTATACACAAATAATGGTCTCCACCCTGGAGGTTAGAATGTTGGCCTCCTCAGCATTCCATGTTAATGTAGTGCTTGATATGGTAGGGTGAGTTTTACACTGTTTCGTGGGGGAGAAAGATCTGACTATCCCAGTCATGGGAGAGAATTTTCTCAGTCTAACTGCAATCTGTCAAAACCCAATCATGCCTTAATTAAAAACTCTTGGATAAGAAATCCAGAGTCCTAAGCTTATTAAGTATGTGTGGATAATGCTAACTGAAGAGAGCAGAACTCAAAGACTGGCTAACAGGATTTCTTTGGAGAGATGACTAACACTCTTAACAACCAAAAGTTTCTTTCTCTTATCCTTCACTAAAGATTTTCAGAGCTATAATGAAACATTGATAAGTGCTTCTAGCAGTGATGCTTTTTGTTTAATGAGTAAAAGTGAATACTACAAGGGAGGAAAGAAACTGTTCCTTCAATTTGTATCCTCATTCCTTAGCACAGTGTCTTGCACATAGCAGACTTTTAGTAAATAGAAGTTGAATGAGTGAATGATTCTTGTTATGCAGAATCATTCTTGTTATGATTCTTTATGTTGTATGCATTTTACATGAACAAATGGTTAAGATAATGGAAATAAATGTACTTTTTGCCCTTTTGCTAGGATTGGCGGGAGCTATGGGTGGACGACGCCATCTGGAGGTTGCTTTTCTCCATGATCCTCTTTGTCATCATGGTTCTCTGGAGACCATCTGCAAACAACCAGAGGTTCTTTGAGACTTTATTTATGTTGTCATTAGTTAGGGTTGGCTCAGTGGGAGACAGTGTCAGGGTTCTTTCAGACACTGGAAGGAACACTGGAATCAGGAGAATTGGGTTCCTGTCTCCTCTCTTCTGTTAATTTGCATTAAGATTTTTGGCATGTTGCCCTTTTCTTTTTTTGACATCTCTCTGTGCCTTAATTTCCTCTATATAAGTTAAGGGGGAATTGAACCATTTGGTAGGATGCCCCTTTTAGTTCTGACAGCTGAAAATATATTTATGTGGGTAAATAAAGGAGGGAGGTTGTTGGACTTGTAATGAGGGTCTTTCTGCCTGGCGTCCAGATAGAAAGAACAAATTCTGGGGCCTTCCTTGGTGGTGCAACAGGTTAAGGCATAGCACTATGAAGCTAGCTGCAACCATTTCAGCATGATTTTGGTCCCCAGCCAGAGAGGTGACCCATATGGCACGGCAGACCTCTCCTGTCTCGCCCTCTGCTCCCCTCAGCAGGTACTTCATCAGTCTGCCTGTTGTACTCCTAAATGCTTTTGTAGTTGGATTGGTGAGAATTTATATTATGCAGGATACCACTGAAGAAGGGAAAGAGTAGGTGGTACAACCAAACAGTTAATTTTACAGTGAGATAGCCCCCAATAAAAGCTTTAGGAAAAAATAAATGACATCTTTTTACTCCATGATCTGTCTTTTCACTTAGTATTTGTAGTCCTTAAAAAAAAAAAAAGTTTAAAAAGTAGAGAAAAGATGTGAAAGAAAATAGAGGGAATGTGAAATCATACTGTTGAGAAAGATCCTAGACATTCTGGTGATCTGTTTTTGTATCAATCTATAGATCTGCTGCTCACTTCCTAACTATGTTTATAAACAATTTTTCCCTTCAGTCTTTGAAAACTTTGCTTTAACCTTTTTGTTCTCTTCTTTTAAAACATGATGCCCACTCTCTGAAACTCCAGTATTAAAAACTTGATGTATCCTTCCACATTTTACTTAATGTTACATGGTATAGATGCAATATAGTAAAGTTAACTTCAATCCCTCTTCGTGAGCATTTGGGCTGTTTTCAGTTTGGGTATTTCAGGGTCCCCATGACCACCAGTGCACTTAGAAAGACTCATGGGGCTCAGTATATAGCAAACCTTATAGCAAAAGCTTATTAAGGCAAAATGACAAGATCAGCAAAAGAAAAAGATACAGGTAGAGTCTGGGAGGATCTATACTTCTCTTTCCATACATTTTCTCCTCTGAGGAAACCCATCATGAAGCACTTTTCCCCAGTAGTAAAACACATGGACAGTATTTCTGGTCATTAGAAACTTAGCACCCAATTTTTTTATTAGGGACTGAGATCATGTCAGTACTCTTTACTTAATATGTACTAACATTCCAGATTCCTAGAGGGAAGCAAGTTTGATTATTACCTTAAAAATTGGGTCCTCCTGGTGGCGCAGCGGGTTAAAGCACAGCCTAAGAAGCTAAAGCCAATTCTGCAAGAGTTCGATTCCCCACCCCAGAGGTGATCCACATGGCGTGGCAGACCTCTCCTGACCCACCCACTACTCCCCTCAGCAGTGTACTTTGTCGATCTGCCTGTTCTGCTCCTCACCTTGAGTCTGGTGCACCTCTGGCCTGTACCCCAGATCTGTATGCATAAATAAATAAATAAATCTTTTAAAAAAAATATTATAATAATTTTCATAAAAATTGCAATTCTAATTTTATTATTATAAATCACAGTGATACATGTTTATCAGAGAAGAGGTCAGTGCCAAGTTCCCAGACACCAGTGCTGGGCCACCCCTGTAAACAGATCTTTCTGAAGACCAACTTAAGTTAACTCTTATTCTCAGACCTCTGTTCCCCCTTGCCCCAACCCCCCATGACACTTTCTATTCATACTTTGTTTCAAGTCTTCCCAGACCCTCCCCTCCTTTAGTGTGCAGATATTTTGGGAGGCTTGATCATACATTGCTCATATGACTAACCTTCAGTCTCTAATCTCTCCTGGATGTCAGACTGATGCCTTTAGTCTGTAGTTCCTCCGGAGGGTCAGAACTGATAAGGCATGGCCTAAAGTCAACATAAATCACAGTTAGACTGCCCAAAGGCCAGAACCTTGGAATAGCCCAAGCGCTCCCATCAGGCAGGACTTTCCAAAGATACAGAAGTCATTTCCCAAATGGCTGTGGTTAAAAGGCCAGCTCTCTCTTTGGGTAAGGTTAATTTCACTGTGCATGTGTAGCAGATGCTCAGTAAATATTAGTGTAATGAATAGGCTTGGGATTTCTGTCCCAGGGGTACTTGTATTTTATAGAATGTGAATAGATTGAGTTTCAAAAAATACCTGAAACAAATTGCGTATTTACCCATTCCTTTTGTTTTATTTCCTTCTTGCTGATCTGGTAGGTGAGAACTAATATTCAGTGTTAATTTTGCTTGTATTTAAGGCCAAGACTTAAGGCAGACATTTTATGTCTTACATGTTTCTGATATTTAATTCTCTGTCAGCTTTTCATATCTTTATTGGCTTTCTGATTTTTAGAAATTCCTGATATATTTTAGATACCAGTATTTTGTTTGTTCTAAGCATCCTAGATATTTTCTCCTGCTTTGGATTATATTTGAACTCTTTAATGGTATTTTTGGTCATAGAAAAATTTAAAAATACAGAGTAAATTTATCATGTTTTCCCTTTGTGAATTGTGTCTTGTTTAACAAAATCTTCCCTAGCTTGAGGAGAGAAGTCATAAATTTACTGCATTCCTTTTTTGTTGTTGTTGTTAGCAATTCTTTCATAGGATACTATTGCTCAAAAGCTGGGATAAATGCAAAAAATGCATTTTGAGCATTATTTAATAGCTTAGGTATATAACTTTATGATAACAAATATCAATCATGGACTAATTATTTTTAAATTTCACAGTTGAGGTCTCATTCATCAAGAATTATTTGATTATGGGTACTCTGTTCTATTGCTCTGATCCTGCATCAATAACAACTGTCTTAATTATCTGCTTCCTGGTAAATCTTGGTTTTGAAGGGCCTAAACAATCTTCCATAACCATATTTAAAAAAAAAAAATTATCTTTGCTCTTTAGGTGTTTCATTTTAGAGAAACTGTTTTGCTTGGAATTTAATTGAATTAGGGAAATTTCATATCTTTTTGATAATTCTTTTCCTGAATATGGTATTTAACTTCACATTTTTTATTGCTTTCACTACTTTAGTTGTTTGTAACTTTTATTTAGTTTTTTTTATATTGTCTCACTTACGAATAAAATCTGAAATAATGCATAGTTTTCCAAATATATGAGAATGCTGTTGATTTTTATTTATCATATCCATCAATCCTCCTACCTTATCTTCTGAAAATTTCTAGGCTTTCTCATTAGATTGATTTTACTTAAATCAATAACAGTGTTATTTTTTAATTTTCCTTATAATCTACTGCCTCATTTCTGATTCTTGTGTTGGCCAGGTCTTCCTGCTAACAGTGAGAATGTAGTGCAATAGTACAGTGAAAAAGTGCCTTCTCATCTTAACCTGACTTTCAAATAAATGGCTTTTCAACTGTCATCATTCACTTTGACATATACTGTGAATTTTTGTGCCCTCTAACAGGTTACAGTCTGTATTTCTCCTAACTTATGCTCTGTTCTTTAAATATCAAGAAAAGAAGGTGCAATGAAAATAAAAGGGAACTGGCAAAATGGAAAGTGTAGAGTGAGTTCAAAAGGAAAGTGCTCTAGGAATTAACTGTTGGGCAGCTGCTTTTTTGAATCTGTTAGAAGTCAAGGAACATACATGAGGTGAGATGTACCTAGTATCTTCAGCTTCCCAGCTTCTCACTGGGAAACTGAGATGTCAGTGAACAGCAATTCAGAAGCTCTGGACATCATTTCTTTTTTCCTTTAATATTCAAAAGGGCAGGTTTATTATGAAAAGGCAAGGGAAGTAAAGGATACTTTCATAGACACAGTGGGCTGGAGCTGCCCTGAAGGGCCAGGTTTGTTGAAGGAGAGGCCTGTGTGGCCAAAGGGGGCAGGTGTGGGAGGAGAGCCCCCTCTGCTGGTTTGCAGAGGGAGAAAGGTGGTGAAGATAAACACACCATTGGCACAGGCAGGCAGGAGGCTGCGGTAGGACATCATTTCTTAACTACCAGTTTGAAGGCTGAGGTTTTAAATTACATGAGAATCTGCTTACCTCCGTGGTACAAATGCTTACAAGTGAGCACTATGTGTTTACTGTGTTATATACTATTCTAAGCTCTTTATTTGAAATGACTTTGCACAGAATACATCTGTAAGTAAAGTTCTCTTATACCAGTTTATTGCTGAGGAAACCAAAACAGAGAATAACATGTCCAGGGTCACAGGTTGCATGTGGCTGAGCCTGCACACAAATTGCAACACCTGTCAGTTTCTTCCTTTTCCACAATATAGGCAGTTGAGAGCAAAAGAATCATTTTATTATTAACTAAGATGATAAGTAATTGCAGGTTCAGTTATTAGTCCTGTAAAATCCAGAGAGTGGAACAGTTCTTACAGTTTTCTAATTTTATCCCTTTCTGTTTTACTTTGTTCTGTCAGGTTTGCCTTTTCACCATTGTCTGAGGAAGAGGAGGAGGATGAGCAGAAGGAACCTATGCTTAAAGAAAGCTTTGGTATGATAAAATTTATCTTTTATTTGTGCTTTAGATATTCATTCCTGGTTTTTAGAAATAGAGCAAAACAAAAAAATACTAAAATCAAGGTATTTTGATTTAAATACATATTTATAATTTTAGGACCACATTATTTCTTAATCTGACATGTAGGGAAGTTAGGAGGAAGTAAAAACAAGGGTTTGGGGCCTTCCCTGGTGGTGCAGTGGGTTAATGCGCAGCACTACAAGCGATCCACAGCCTCTTCACTGAGAATTCGATTCCCAGCCCGGGAGGTGACCACATGGCCATGGCAGGCCCACCCACTGCTCCCCTCAGCAGTGTATTTTGTCCATCTGCCTGTTCTGCGCCCCACTCTGTCTTTGATGAATCCACTCACTGCCCCATTACCTCTGGCCTAGTTCTTTATGCATAAATAAATAAATCTTTAAAAAAAAATAAGGGTGTGACTCTTAAGATGGAGCCATGGTAAATTCAGTAAACAATTACACAGTAAATGCCCAATTTGCTGCAGATAAGCAGAAAATATGACTTTGAACTCCTGAGCATAATTGTAACGATGGAGCAATATTTGTTTGATATTTCAGTGTCACCAAGTTTAAAACTCTGAATTCATTTTTGTAGACAGTAGAAATACTGCACTGACATGGTTAACCAATCTACTTTTTTTTCTTCTACAGAAGGCATGAAAATGAGAAGTACCAAACAAGAACCAAATGGAAATAGTAAAGTAAACAAAGCAGTAAGTATGACTTCTTCTTATCCTCCAGCCCTTGTAGAGCTCAGCAGAATTATGTGTAGACCTTAATGACTTTTTTTTTTCACATGCTATGGTTAAGCATGCTGTATGAATCTACTAAAATATACTGTGTTTACATTCTTTTAAATAGTAAGCGATTCTGTCTAGTACCCTGTAATCTTTAACTGAGTGGTTTGCTGTGGCCTGAAAACATACCAGACTGATCTGGTAGTTCCTTTTTATTTCATCAGTGAAGTCATAGTCTTTTTTCTAGTAAAGGTTGAGATTTTTTTTTTTTTCAGTCTCTATTTTTTTTAAAGATTTATTCACTTATGCATACAGAACTGGGGTATAGGCCAGAGATAAAGGGGCGGTGAGGGAGTCACCAGAGACAGAGTGGGGAGCAGAACAGGCCGACTGCCAAAGTACACTGCTGAGGGGAGCAGCGGGCTGTTGAGGAAAGGTCTGCCACGCCATGTAGATCGAACTCCGGCTGGGGATCAAACTCATGCTCCGGGGTGGGGATCGAACTCATGCTGATTGATGTAGCTTTAGCTTCTTAGTGCTGTGCTTTAACCTCCTGCACCACCAAGGAGGGTGCAGCATTTTTTAAGAAATGTGTATTCATTCTACATGAGGGACTTGAGAACTTATTTAAGTTTTAAGGATCAAAGCTTACATGAAACAAACTCTAGGTATTAGAACATTGAGAAAAAAGCTTTTAAGGATGTAGGACATCAGTTCATATTTTGGCTGTACACTTTTTAATTATTTGACTTTTCTTGTTAACAATCCCAGTTGTTTGGTGTAGATAGTACTTCATAGTGACGGAAGACCAAATTGAAAGATTTTGGAGATTTCTTAAGATGCTTACTAGAGATGTATTATTTGGTGTATTTTAGTAACAACTAGTACTTGTATGTTTCCAGCAGGAAGATGATTTGAAGTGGGTAGAGGAGAATGTACCTTCTTCTGTGACAGATGTGTAAGTTTTTGAATCTTTACTTAAGAATACTATTTCAAATTTAGTGTTACATTGTCTTAATTGAATGAGCTAAAGAGCATACTAATAAGAATGCTTATAGTTAACTTTTTAGAAGTAAAAGATTACTTAAAAGAATATCAAAATGTTAAAAAGATATTTTTAACATTTTGTTAAAATGTAAAAGATTAAGAATGTGTACAAACAAAAGTAATCAAGGGTTATGCATTCAGATTGCTATAGATCTTCCTAAAATCAATGGGATATGGTACTCCTTTTGGCATTTTTTAATTACTTATGGCTTTAATTTTCAGTTAAACATTGGTCCTTTTACAATGCAGAATGTATTTTGCTTTTTTCTATATATAGTTCAGTGACTCTTAAAGTATTCTTTGTATTTTCCTTTTTCCCCCTAAAATGGCTATCATATAAATGTTAGCTATCTTAAACAAGCTTATTTAAATTGAATTCATCATTCCACTGTCCATTTATAGTTTTATATTACATTGTTCAATTTGGTGTTTTTCTCTACAGAGCACTTCCAGCCCTTCTGGATTCAGATGAGGTTAGTAATCAAATCATGTGCATAGATTGTGTAAATGCTTGACTATTTATGCTTGTCAGGTTACATTCCTGAATCAGATAGGGTATGCATTTTTTATTAATGCTTAATCTTACATAAATATGTAATCATCTTAATTGATTTTAAAAATGCAGTTCCTTTTGATACGTGGCTTGATATCCTGAAACCTAGACATTTTGATGTAAGTTGGGGTGGACTTTGGACATCTCTATGTTTCGAAATCTTTAATTTTTAATTTTTATTTATGTGTATTTTAAAAAAGATTTACTATTTATGCCTACAGGAGCTGGGGTATGGTGGGGTGGAGAGGGGGTGAGAGGAGTCACCAGAGACAGAGTAGGGAGCAGAACAGGCAGATTGACTGAAATACACTGCTGAGGGGAGCAGCAGGCAAGACAGGAGAGGTCTGCTGTGCCATGGAGGTCAGCTCCCTGGCTGGAGATCAAATTCATGCTGTAGTGGCAGGAGATCGCTTGATAGTGCTGAGACTTTTAATCCCTGCATCACCAGGGAGACCCCTTAAAATATTTTTAGATGGTTAGGAGATATTACTCTCAGTGGTCAACATAAACAAGTACCTCTGGGAAATTTGTATGTATGCGTAGTCTTTGAAGAAGACACTTATTTTATAATGTAGAACATTTAAACTTTTTCTTTTTCCCTAGGAACGAATGATCACACACTTTGAAAGATCCAAAATGGAGTAAATAATGGAATGATTTTCAGTTGAAGATGGCTTATGTCTGGGAAGAGATTAAGCTCTGTGTCAGTCTTCTACACGTCTCCATGGGATTAAAGGAAGCAGTGACATCCTGATCTGTTCCTTGGTCTTTGTGCATTAGAGCTGGCAAGAAGTGTCAGAACAAGGAGAACATCTTATTGAAAACAAGTTCATAGGATGAGAAAAATCTACCTTTCTTATTTACAACTTGATGTCCTTTTCCCTCCCATAACCTGACATGGATGTTTATGCAATTTATGTGTGTTGTTCCTGAATCTCCTATACTGTTTAAATTGTTTAATCTGTCAAACTAAAAAAGTTAACATCTTCTAAAGAACTATGATGTCAATGCAGTAATACGTAATCTCCAGGAGCAACTGCCTGTAATTTTTATTTATTTAGGGCGTTACATAGGTGATGGGGGAAATTGTTAATTACCTTTCCATTTCCTGGCTAGCCAAGGTTACATCTTGCAGAGATAGTTTTGAAAAAATCCGTCTGAGTTAAGGAGAGCCATGGCCTAGCAATGATTCAAAGAAAAAAGAAGGAAGAAACGGTTATCGTGTGATTCAGATCATTTAAAAAAGCAAAATCAAGTGCAATTTTGTTTACAAATGGGTGTATATTAAAGATTTTTCTATTTCAGATGTACTTTAGAGAGAAATATTAGTTTAACTCTTTTGACATCTGTTATTGTGACACATCCCATTGCTGGCAATGTGGTGCAAACTCCAGAACTTTTAACTACTGTTTTGTAAGTTTCCAGGGCAACATTGCTTTGTTTGCCTTCACTCCATTCTCTGGGTGTTGCACTAGGTGCAGAGGCTATTCATCTGAGTGCTTATGAGTAAGCTACTTGCTATAGGTACTGTGATGCTTCAGAAGCAGGAGCTAATTCAAAGGAGACAGGTCATTTTTTGGCTTAATTTAAACCAATTTTTACTCCATTTAGTAGTATTGAGGCCCTGGACTTGCTGCTCATTGTTTAGGATTGACTATTCTTGTAACTGGTGTTGGTCTTAGGGACTGTTTATAAGACTGTTTACAAGGTGATGGGATTCATTTGAAGCACTATATTTGTTTTAATGGTTTTGCCTTCCCAAGATTTTTGTTCTACATAGAAAGTTCATGCCACTTTTTAATATAAAAAAATTTTAACAAAATTAATTTATTTCTCTCGTCGTTTTTTTTTTTCTTCCAGAGTCTTTCTAAAGATCCCTTTTTCTTTCCAAACTCTCTTGTGGGAATCCTTCCATGATTTTTATTCTGTATCATTTCTGGTTGAATCAAAGATCACACTCTTATTTCACTCATACTGTAGTGAATGTGTAAACACTTATGTAATGTTTCTTTTTAACTATTTGTTGAGGTAATTAAAAAAATCATTGAAGTTGTATCTCAGAGGGTAAAGATGAAGGTTTAGTCAGCAAAAGACTAGTGTTACTGTTCTGCTCTCCTCTGTTCTTGTTAAAATTTACCAAGTGAGTTAAGAATTTCAATGCGGCAGGATATTGGTCAAATATATTTTGAGACCAAGTTAGGGGTTTACTTGAGACTAGGGGGGTAAAGCTATTGTATTAAGGAAAAGTGTGGCATAAATTCTTTAGCCTGGGATATCATAATCCCTTTTGCTTTATGTTATAGCTTATGTTACTGTGACTGGACATAAGGTATCATTTCTTAGAACAGGTTGAGAAAGAATTTATAGTGGCACTTTGCCTGTTAATCTTAGTATTTTACATTGTTTATTTTTATTTTCTTCTCAGCTTTCAACTAGAAGATATTAGGCCTTTTTCCAGCACAGCAGTTAAGATAATTCTATAATTTCAAGGTGTTCAGCTTCTGTGTGAAAATCAGCCATAACATAAGATTTGTTTATCAATTTTTATTTTCTTTCTACTTGAAAATATTGTTTGATCATCAGAAACAACATTTAGTAAAGAAGAAACTACTCTTGACTTACAGATGAAGATCCAGAGATAGTGTAAAAATAAAGTGACCAGGATCAGTTTATTTTTTTCATATGGTCACATTTTTTTCTTTGACATTTTTGCTTTAAACTTGTATTTATAATTTTGTGTCACATCTGCTATTTTCTTGAGGGGTAATTTCCAGATTCAGACCATTCTTGTAATAATTCTCAAGACTTTAAAGTGCATGGACTTATCCTGGAGTTATTAAGTCACAGATGCCTTACACATACTACCTCCGCCCACGGCCCCTGCAGTTTGATTCATTAGGGCTGGAATGGGGCCTGGGACTTTTCTTTTGTAACAGGTTCCCAGGATAGTGCTGCTGCTGCTGGTCTAGGGCCCACACTTTGACCTACAACATTTAAAACGTTGGGTGAGGTACCTGAACTAGTTGGGAATAGAATAACTACCATTTACTGCGTGTTTGCAGTGTGCCTGACATTGCTGAGCGCTACAATGCTAGGTAGGTGTATGACACTTGGTGGATATGGAAACTGACTCTGGACAGAATTGCTCGCTTCCTAAATGGCAAGTTTCCATCCGAGGTCCGATTGACGCAAAGTGCTAATTTCACCACCACGCTCCATTGCCTGTAACAGTTCTAAGATTAGCATCTGTAATTCACCTTGTTAAATTTTTGACTACCCGGACAGGGCTAGGTAGATAACCCAGGCCTGGATGAGGCTGTGGGGCTGTGTGTTCCAGGGCTATCTGGGGGCCTGGGCGGAAGGGGCGGGGCTTAGGCTGCGGAAGGGGTGGGCTCAGCCTGCAGGAAGTCCGGTGATGGCTCTGTAGTCGTAGGGCCTGTAGTCGGGGGTCTTTTCCCGCGTCCGGGTTCGCCTTCCCCTGGCCTGGTTCTGGCCGCATACCTGGCCCGTCACGCTCCGGGTGAGAAGACGGCGGCGAGCAGAGAGTCGCCGCCGCCATGCACGACGCTTTCGAGTCCGTGCCGATCCTAGAAAAGCTGCCTCTGCAGATCGACTGTCTGGCTGCTTGGGGTGAGCTGAGGCCGAGGGGCCAGGAAACCGAGGCTGGGTCAGCGAGCGTGAGCGGCCTGGACTTTTCACAGGGCTAGGGGGTTGCGTGGCCTCTGGCTGTGTGTGCGCCTGCCGGGCTCTTAGTGGAGTAGGTAGTGGACAGCTGCCTTAGGCGAGCCCCAGGGGCCCAGGCATTTTAAAAACGTTCCACCTACCTACCTTTGCTTTCGTGCAGAGTTGGAGATTGAGTTGTTGTTGTTGTTGTTTTTATTGTTCCCCCCAACTTTGACTCATTTAGCATCAAGAAGACTTAGTTTGGAACAACAAAGCAGTAGGAAGTTCTCAGCTTGCAGGGAATTGAACTTGTTCAGATGATTGTGTTGTTTTCTCAGTGAAAGACAGCACTGTTTGGTTTGGTTTTGGCTTTTTGGGTATTGAACGAGTTAATACCGTCTGTCTTACTCCCCTGTCAACACTCATCGTTTACTTCATTATTGTGGGTAACTCAGTTTGTTACCCCAAACTCTTAATCTTTCCAAGTGGTTGATTGCCTTGTATCCAAAGTGCTCGCTCCATTAACTAATTCTGTAGGTAGAACAATACTACCCCATAAAAAGTAGACATTAAAAAGTGGCATAGAACTTTTAACCAGATCTCATACTTCCTTAGATGCCCATGATGGGCCTCATGAATTTTGGTGGTGGCTGGGATCTTATGATTCCTCTATGGACAGCATCACCTGGTCAGCCCTGCAGAGTTCTATACTGCCTCTTCAGTAGGGTGCTTTCACTATAGAGTAAACAAGAATGGAAGCCAGACTTCTCATAGTTCTTTGACATTATGTGAATATCACAATTAAAACAAATTAATATGATTTGGCATAGCATACAGTATTAAAAATATTAAAGGTATTGGAGATGGGAAGATACTAGCAGGCTGCCAACGTGAAATCACAGTGTATACCACGTAGATCTCCAGGGTTCTGAATCAGACTATGACATCTGCAGCAGTGAGTTATACACCATTTAATGACCAGGTGTGACCATTATGAAGTGGGTTCTACTAGATTTCCACTCATTTCTGCTCAAGAAAGTCTTGCAGATAAGATTTAAAAATCAAAACAGGACCCTCCCTCGTGGTGCAATGAGTTAGGACACAACGCTGCAAGCTAGACGCAGCTACTTCAGTTGAGTTTGATCCCGGGCCCGGAAGTGACCCACATGGTGCAGTAGACCTCTCTTGTCTTGCTTGCTGCTCCCCTCAGCAGTGTACTTCGTTGATCTGCACCTCTGGCCTGTACCCCAGTTCTGTATGCATAAAATAAATAAATTTTAAAAATCAAAACAGTTTATAAAAATGCAGATTTGAGTACACCACCAGTGATTGATTGACAATTTCTAGGAGCAGGTTGCAGGTTTCAGGAATGTGCACTTTTCCTAAAGCCAGGTGATTCTGGTGCAGCCAATTTGGGTCTTATACTTTGAGAAACTCAGTTGTTTGCCCTGTGGCTCCCTTACTCATCTCTGACTTATCTGAAGTTGCCAGCACAAATTATTCATTACATGAGCTTGGACTCTGTGGTACTGCTCATTAGGGTAATTGTGAACAAGAGAACCCAGCGTTACTCACTTCCCAGGTAGGATCAGGTCCAACCTTGTGGCTCAGGACTAGGCGATGAGGAATTTCATAGGCCTGACTCTTGTTTGTTTATGTGTGCTACCCATTTGCATGGTGTACACCACTTTCTGAAATGCAGTGCTGGGTCTCAGAGGGATTGCCTTCCCCATGCAGTACCTACTCAGAAGGTATCTCATGTTGAATGGAAGGCATAACTGTGTTAAGGGATGATATGTCAGAATGTGGAGGCCTGATGTAGATCAGTTCCTCGGGGCACTTGAACATGTACTGCTTTCTGTAACCATATCAAGCCTCTTCAAGGTTCGGTGTCATCATCACATCTGAGTGATGCACTGTTTTTTCCTATGAGTGTGAGGATTAAGAATGAGTATATAAGTGATATCTGTACTATTTGCTAGTTGCTTAGAACACTTTGTATAGTAATAAGTGCGTTTTTCCTCAGCACCTCCAAATGAAAGTTTGAGAAGGCTCATCAATAAAAATTCAACTGAACATTTAAAAAAAATGCAGTGAATTTAGTGGTTCTATTATGCTTTGAGAAAAGCTCAAATAGAATAGACATTTGACAAAGTTTTGTTGGAAAACAAGCATTTCAATAAAAATGAATAGATTCTCAAATATTACATGTGTTTGACTCTATATGTGTATAGTGCAGTTTCATGGAGGTTTTGTTATTGTTAAACCCCAGTGTGATAGCATGAGAGAGCAAAAATGGAAGGACATGTAGAATGTGACCAGCTGAGGTTGTCATGGGGGTACCTGGAGAGACTCTGCAGATGTTGGCTTTTTCTGTTGAGGCAAAATCAGGAGGTCATGTAGATCTGGATAGAAGCTGAAATTGTTAAAGGAAATAAAGTCACGAGCTAGTACAGGTATGGGGTAGAGTGGAGAGGGAAGGATGGCAAAGATAATGAACCATGATATTGGCCTTTTGGTTTTAGCTTTTTGTTATCAGTGAATTAAAAAAAAATTCTACTTCATTTTACTAAAATCTGAGCTATCAGAGGGTATCTTAAAGATCAACTATAATGTTGCCAATTGCTTGATATAGTGACAGCCCTAAGTAGAGTTCTAAACATACCTGCACAAACTGAGCATTGTGATCTGAACTTTTCACCACATTCTGCTCCAACATAAATCTGCAGCATTCCTTTAGAGTTAGTGTTATTTCTGATTTCCACTTATGTCATTAAGAGCACATGGTGTATTACCTTCTGTGTCCTGCCTTCACTTTCGAGCAGAAAAATGTTAAACAACAGAATTATAATTTTTGGAAGACCAAGGACATCAACCTGGAGAAATGTTCCTGATGTGGCTGCTGAACTAGTCTTATAAACATAACCACTACCAGATAAGCTCTGACCAACAACTGTTCCTTTGACATGGGATGCCTTAGTAAGTGCATCACAGTACGTAGGGGTTAGACAGATTGGTAGGAGTTAGAATCCTGATCTGCCAATTTACTACATGTCTAACTGGACAAATTAACTTATCCTCTAGACTTCCATTTCCAGTTGTATTCCTATCCCAAGTAAAGGAATAGTTGCAAGATTACTGAAATAACATGGTATGTGCTTGGCATTTCCTGGACCACAATGCATGCACAGTAAACGTGGTTTACCACTAGCCAATATTTTGTTTAATAAAGGGTCAACAGAGTATTAAAAAGGAATGAGTGACCATTATGTTCCAACATTAAAAAGCAGAGAAATTACATACATTTAACTTCTCTTAGTGATTGATTTAATATAAACGTGAGGATAATTATTTAAACTTTTGTAATTTCTTTATTTTTAGCCTAGTCCAATGTCTCCAAAATTGTAATTCCTGAACCACAGCCTCATTATTACCTGGAAAGCTGTTATAAATGCAGGTTCCTTGGCTCCTTTCCAGACGACCCAGAAATCTTTTTGGGCACACCCTGATACATACCATAAAATGTAAGGCACTGACTGAGACTTTTTTTTTTTTTTTTATTTATTTATTTGTGCATACAGAACTGGGGTACAGGCCAGAAACTCAGGGGTGGCGAAAGACTTCACCAGAGACAGAGTGGGGAGCAGAACAAGCAGATCGAGGAAGTACACTGCTGAGGGGAGCAGCGGGCAGGTCAGGAGAGGTCTGTCACGCCATGTGGTCACCTCCGGGGCAGGCAGGAATCGAACTCATGTGGAATTGGTTTCAGCTTCTTAGTGCAGTGCTTTAACCCCCTGCGCCACCAGGGAGGACCCAACTGAGATCATTTTTATAAGTACTTTATTGAGGTTCAATTCACATGTCATGTAATTCATCCTTTTAAATTGGAGAATTCAGTGATTTTTAGTATATTCACAGAGCTGTGTGAGAATATCACAGTTAACCACTTCCAAAAGAAACTGTATCTGTTAATATAACTATCTATTTCACCCCAGACCTATCAGCCCTAGGCACCCATTGTTCTTTCTGCCTTTTTTAGATTTGTCTGTTCTGGATATCTCATATAAAGGGAGTCATGCAATGTGTGGCCTTTTCTGTCTGGCCCTTTTCATTTAGCAGCTGTCTTCAGGCCATTCCTGTTGTAGCTTATACCAGTACCTCATACCACTTTCTGGCTGGCAAATAGCCATTGCGCTGATATGTCATATTCTGTCTATGCATTCATCAGTTGATGGAAATTTGGTTATTTCCATCTTTGTAATAGTTTGACTATTACAGGTAATTCTGTCAAATATTTGTGCAAGTTTTTCTGTGGTGGGTTTTTGTCTTTATGTATATTCCTAAGAATAGAATTATTGAGATGTATGGTAACTAATCTTTTGAGAACTACCAGACTGTTTTCCAAAGTGACAGTGTCATTGTACATTCCCGCTAATAATCTGTGAGGATTCCAATTTCTTCACATCTTTGTCAACATTTTTTATTGTCCTTAGCTTCCACTACCACCATCACCCCCAAGTTTCAAATGTTTATTAATCAGTGTGAACACAATCAACACAATACACTAACATGATTTTATTCATTTAGAGGTAACTTTTTCCTGGGTGGAAAATTGAGTGTATAACTTCTGGAAGACCATCATGTTTAAGCAACTTTATAATGAAAATTTTCATTTAGAAGTCTGGACCTCCTTCCTTTAGTTTACTGTCATTTACATGCACTGAGTAGGATTTGTATTGATCATTGGGACCCAGTTTGTTACAGGGTTCTGTGTACCTGAACCCAGCTGATACCTGAATTGAACAATGCCAGACCGTATGACATACAGCACTGCTCCAGTACCTCCCACTCCATTAAATAAGGAGATCAAGCTAGGCTATTTCTGGAGCTGGTGAAGCATGGTTGCAGGAAAGGGCTTGTGCTGGGGAGTAAAGCAGAACATATCTACAAAGCCCTGAAGTCTCTTGTCCTTAGCTTTTGAATTAATGAATCCTGTAACTGTAATATATTATGGCACCTCTGTTTTCCTTAAACTGGGATCATTAAAACTTTAAAGGATGCCTTTTAGATGTTATTTCTGATATTAGATACCTAGTTTCCTCCATTTTATGATTTTATAAACTTCCATCATATTTTGGGTTAGTTTCACTTTGAAACAAGACAAGGATTCTTTTAATTTCTAATGTGTCTAGATTTGTCATTGTTCAATAAATACTTTTTAAAAGATTTTTTTATTTATACATACAGAACTGGGGTACAGGCCAGAGGTGAGAGAAATCACCAGAAACAGAGTGGGGAACAGAACAGGCTGATTGATGAAGTACACTGCTGAGGGGAGCAGCGGGCTGGTCAAGGGAGAGGTCTGCTGCGCCATGTGGGTCACCTCGGGGACCAGGATTGAGCTCATGCTGAAGCTGCTGCGGGCTAGCTTGCAGTGCTGCGTCCTTACCCGTTGAACCACCAAGGAGGGCCCTAAATATTTTTTGATTGATTGATTCTCAGACATTTCTTGACTAAATATTGCTGAGCAGCCCAAAACATCAGCTGTCAAACACAGCTTATTTTCTGGACCATTTGATTTTTGATTACAAACACTAGCTAAGAAATAGGGTCTTACTAACATTGATTGGCCTTTCTTATAAATCTTACAGATCTTTTATTTTTCAGAGGAATGGCTTCTTGTTGGAACCAAACAAGGACATCTTCTTCTGTATAGGATTCGGAAGGATATTGGTAAGTAGAGCTTTCCAGAACTGAGAAAGAGGTGGTTTATTGAGCATGTAAAAAGAATTGTGATGGCTGCCTAGTTAAAAACTGGGAAATTAGTGATTTCTAGACCATTATCATAGTGATTGGGGGAGGAGTTTGCACAAAGAAAGCAGGGAGAAACATGAGAATATTTAGGTTTTTGTTTTTTTTAAAAGATCTGTTTATTCATGCATACAGAACTGGGGTACAGGTCGAGGTGCAGGGGTGGTGAGAGGATTCACCAGAGACAGAGTGGGGAGCAGAACAGGCAGATCGACAAAGTACACTGCTGAGGGGAGCAGCAGGCGGGTCAGGAGAGGTCTGCTGTGCCATGTGGGTCACCTCCAGGGCAGGGATCAAACTCATGCTGAAGTGGCTTTAGCTTCTTAGTGCTGTGCTTTAACCTCCGGTGCCACCAGTGCAGTGGGAGGGCCCCACTTTAGATTATTTTTTTAGATTATCCCCCTACTTCCATCCAGTAAGTAAAGTGGATATTATTTCTTGCCTCACTTCTTGGAGACTCACTGCCAGAAGTAAGAATACTGATGGGAGAAGATTCTGTATAAAAGATATGGTAGTAGGGGAAAAAAACTAGACATTCTTGATATAAAAGATCATGTTAATTTAGGAGACAGGACGCAGAGGAACTGAGTTAGATTAGCTTACTTCTCCTTGGTCACGTGGCAATGAGTACTTCCCATTGTCATTTTCCTCTTCTATAAACTGTGTTTTATAAAGTTATTAGGGTCAGAGTCAGTAATAAGCTTGAAAACTAGAGCTTTAAAACTAAAGCTCTAATCCAAAATAACTTTCTCAGTAAAAATGTAGAATAACTAAAACTATTTGAAATTTATTCCACTAGAGTAGTCTCTATTGGGGAAAGAAGTACCTCACTGCCTTTCCCTAAATTTATTACTGTGCTTTCTTAATGGAAAATTGATGTGTTTGGATCGTATGTTCTGTAAGTTATGGAAAGTCTTTGGAAAACACAAGATTTTATAACTTATAGCCTAACATATAACTTTCCTTAGTAAATAGTTTAAGGTAAGGGTAGGGAAGAATCTTCTCTTTGATTCTGGAACAAGGATAATTTTGGAAGAAAGAGCAACTTCAGGTATAGGGAAGGAAACAAATTCTTTTCCCCCTTCTATCTACCTTGGGTTCTGTGAATGAAGTCCTGTAAAAGGACTGGTAAAAAGACAGCTTAACAAGAGAAAACTAAACAGATTTTTAGTGACATGTGTCTCACACATGGGAGTATTCAGTGATAAGGAAGCTAAGAATTTGGTCTTCTAAAGCATCAAGTGAAGAATAAAGTTTTAGAGAAGTCACAAGATGAAGGAAAAGGATTTTCAGGTTCTAAAGTGATAAACTATAGAAAGGTGACTATATTAGGGAACTTATTGGAGATAAGTTTATTATACTGACCCCCACTCCCCAACTGATGCTATCTTTTGGCTGGTCAAGGACTAGGGTTGTCCCCAGAGATTAAATTCTGCTCTTTCTGGTCAGGAGGGAAGGGGGATTCCTTTATAAATTTATGCATTTAGGCAAATAGGGGAAGCGCAGAGAGCTTTTTGGGTATCTTCTCAGTTACCTTCAGCTCAAAATAATCTTTACATCAAAATAGTGTATTTGAGGGTAGCATATTCTGCTACCCTTTACTGGTGTAGTAGGGAAAAAAGAAAGTAACTGGTCAGGTTCCATGGTGAAAGTAACAAGAAAACTCAGGTTTTTTTTAATGTCGTACCAAAACTTGATATTAAATGCACTTTTTCATGCACTATCATTTCTGCTTGATAAAAATGACTGATAAGACTATGGTTTTTCTCACCATCTGGTTATTTGGTAGATTTCTCAGAATGAACAAAGGGAACCTATCACATCAAAGAGAATAATTTTTGTTGTTATTATTGCAGTGGTGCCTCCACTCTAGAGCAGTGCTTCTCAAAGTGTGATCTGTACATCCCAGGGGTCCTCAGGATCTTTGAGAGCATCTACAAGGTCAAAACTAATTTCACAGTAACACTAAAACATAAGCATAATTTGTTTGGGGGGTTTTTTCACTGATATTTTTTGACATTTGCACTAATGATACAAAAATAATTAACTGCTGACCTGTTAGCACACGTTTAAGATAGTAGTCAACAAACTTGCTGGCGTTCTCCAGCGTATCCGCACAGTGGTTCCTTTGTTTTTTAAAGTCAGTTTCACATTAAGACTGATCTTTGTGAGGCAGTAAAAATTATTAATTCTATTGTATCGTGACCTTTGAGAACATGTCTGTTTAATATGTGCTGTTGTGGGAAGTGTATGTAAACCACTTCTGCTGGGTGCCAAGGCACGGATACCTGGGCTGTCCTGGGGAAAAGCACTTTGTGGTTGTTTAGGTTACAAGCTGAACTGGCCACTTATTCATGCATTATCCTTTCTGCTTGATAAAAATGACTGACAGACAATGGTTTTTCATACCATCTGGTTATTTGGTAGATTTCTGAAAAATGAACAAAGGGAATCTGTCACATCAAAGAAAATAATTTTTTATTAATAACAAAGTTTCTGAGAGAAAATCAGAATTATGGACTACTTGTATCTACCCCCCATGAACTCAGCTTGTCCATACATAATGATTTTTTTTTGTTGAGATTAGGAGTAAATGAGTTTTTTTAATATATATCCTATAAGAAAGTATGTCAGCATTTGTAAAATCTGCATAACTCAGTGAACTAATTTTTTCCAGTTCCTGAAGTTTCTGAATCATGCATGAGTGAAAGATCCATTTAAAGTGAACAAACTTTACTAACAGTAAAGTTCATCAATAGGTTTCTTATTATAAGAAGTTCCAGTTATCAAGTTTTGATATGATATTCAAAGTGATCCATACTTGTCTGAAAATACTATTAAAATACTCCCTTCTCTACCTATATGTCTGTCTGTGAGAAAAGGTATTTTTAGACATATATTTTAACCAGAACAATACATCAAAGCAGATTAAATGCAAGGACAGGTGTGAGTCCAGCTGTCTTCTACTAAACCAGACATTAAAGAGATTTACAAAAGTGTTAGACAATGCATTTTTTTTTAATTTGGAGAAATACTTTTATTAAAATTTGTTATTTATGTTAGCATATAATGGACTTACTGTTGTTTTTAAACAAATGAATACATTTTTAAATTGTCTCAATACATTTTCAAAATTTCTTAGTTTTAATTTCTGATATGATGAACTATATGATGATAGCTTTCGTAAAAATTTTGGAGTTCTCAGTAATTTCTCAGACGAGGAGGAGATCCTGAGACCTGAAGTTTGAGGATCTCTGCCCTAATTGTTGTACTGTGATGAGAATTATTGCAAGTAATAAAACCCTTTTCAAATACAGGACTCTGTTGATCAGGAAACACTGAATTTTTTTTTTCTCTTATGAAATAAAATGATAGAACACAGCTTCTGAATCTCCTGCAACTCTAGGGTCACTTCTTCCCCTCCTCTCCTGAATGTCATATGAAGGAAGTAAGACCAGCACTGGTGGCACAGGTGCTTGTGGATGCTGGCAACAGGCCACTGCTACCCACGTGATAGGTTCTGGGCTCAGTACGTGATAGGTTCTGGGCTCAGTACATCGGCCTTACAGTCTGCCCAGTTTGCTTCTGGGCAAGCTCAGCGGCTGTCACCTAACTGGTGGGCCCATTAGGTCTGTTAAATATGAAATTGGAATAATAATGCCTACATTTCTGGGGAGTTGTGTGGTTCCAGAAAATATATGTAAACTTTTAAACCTAGAACTTGGTACCTAATAACTGCTTAGTGATAACTGCTCTTATTATCACAATTGCTTGCATTTTGCCTCTGAGTTTTGAGACTAATTATTTTTGTCATTCCTGCAAGTCTGGCTTTGCATATTTATGGTATGTAACTGTCTTCCCCTTTTTTTGCAACAGTGCCAGCAGATGTAGCATCACCTGAAAGTGGCAGTAAGTGTAGATGCATTAAATTGCTTTAGCTCTGGGGATGATTGCTCTGTCCTACGATGCAGGATGTAGGGTAGCTGCTGGGACTTAGTTGATCTAGATCTAAGGATGCTATGGACTGGGTTTTATTGCTTGCGCTCTTCTAGTTGACTGTTACTTTTTATTCTCTCTCTTTTTTTTTTTTGGTGAAACACTTTGCCAAGGTACCATTTATATAGGGTTAATATCTTTACAAGTACCTTGTAGCTTCAACAAACTTTTGTGGTGTGGTCCTTTCTGCTAATGCCAAGTGAAGATGCATGAAACCCTTTACTAAAATTGGAGTTGAAAACAACTGAAACCATGACTCAGCATAAAGCCAACACTGTTTTAGATCTCCAACTTCCAGTCTTTGAGGAATTTCCGAAGAGTCCTCTAGGAGAACATCGTGGAACAGCGGTTTGTTGGTATGGCTATTTTAATGTGTTCCTGTGTTTGGAACTGTGAATCTCTCTCTCTTTTCTGTAGGTTGCAACAGGTTTGAAGTAACACTAGAGAAATCCAATAAGAACTTCTCCAAAAAGATTCAACAGGTAGGCAGTGCTGGTGGTTGCTACACTAATATTTGGTTTGTATAAGACCCTGTCAGAGCTGGAACTTTAGTAACATTATTAGAGTTTATTAAGAAGTCAATAAACTCTCTGAATCCTCTGACATCTGTCCTCCCATTTCTCTAGGGATTTGTCATGTCACAAGTAGAATCTGTGATTATACATAAATATAAGTGACATCCTTGTCTCTGGGGCTTTTCAGCCCCTGAATTTTTAGTACCATAGTTACATGAACATTTGCTGATGTCAGAAATGTTGAATTGAATTTGGTGATTTGCTATTTTCCAGATCCATGTGGTTTCCCAGTTTAAAATTCTGGTCAGCTTGTTAGGTAAGAAAAGGAGTTGTATTTGTATTTTATGTGTCAGAAAACAAAAGTTGTTACCTAATCAGCTCTTTCATGGTTAACTTTGTAGTACTTAACAATGAAACTGACATTCCAAATAAGATACAGTAGGATAAAAGTAGTAAAAGCACCAGTATCTGCCATATACTTGAACTTTGTGAATGAACAAGGAGTGTTACCTCATTCATTCATTCAACAATTGAGCGAATAGGATATTGAGTCCTACTCTGTGCAAAGCCTGGATTAGTATTGTGGATACCAAGTTGAGTAAGATATGGTTTCTATGAAACCTATATTGCGATATGAAAACTGAAAATGATAAAAAGTAATGATACAGTAGAAATTTATAAGGTATTACGGGATCTTATACTTTAAGATCTTATATTTTAAGTATAGTCCTTCCTACATAATTCCTACCAGTAGATCATATATAATAGAAGGTACATTATTGTCTAGCAGACAATTAGAATTTTGATAGATGCAGGCAAAGCATTGCAGGCAAAGAAAACAACAGAAACCCTGAAATCTGACCACTTACAGTATGTGGCAGAGAGTAGAAGGTATCAGATGAGAGACAGATCAGATTCAGCCTCCTCAGCCTCCTTGTTTGGAAACCCATTTGTTCATGGAAGGCAGCCATTGAGGCCTTTTCTTGACAAGCAGGGGACTAAAAAGTTGTCTCATGCTTTGTGCTGTTCTGGACAGAAGCCAATTCTGGACAGAAGCCAGATAGTAGACTCATCTTAAACTTAGTGACTAGATTGAGAAAGGAACATTTAAAGTAGCAATTTTCCTGATTAAACTGGATAGGAGGAGGTACAATTGAAGTATTTTGTATGCTTTGCTAGAAAGAAACACTTGCTATGGGTTTATACAGAATCCACAGGGGGTTTCCTCTCTGTTTTGGAACCTGCTAACAAAAAGAACAGTGAAACTATTTCTTATGCAGATATATCACAAATTTCCAGATTTGAGGGCAGATAAATATGACTTGGAAAAGGAACATTTTTACTGAAGCCAACTCAAATTTAGAGGAACAATACATCCAGGGTCAGAAGACCAATTGGCTGTGGGTGATTTCTTAAAAGTTTTATAATGTAATTCTGGTAATGGACCACAATAAATCATCATTAGTGAGACTGAAGGTACATCTCCAACCATTATGTGCCATTTCGTTTTTTGGTGGTTACAGTTTTGCAGGTTTTTTTTTTTTTGGTCTTGATTTTCTATACTAAAGAATTGTAATAATTTAAGTGATGTTTTACCTCCTTCCCAACAGAAAATAACATTTATGTCCATGATCTATTGACATTTCAACAAATCACTACAGTTTCAAAGGCAAAAGGAGCATCACTCTTCACATGTGACCTCCAGGTAAGTGGAGGCAAGATGAAAATTTGACTTTGTATTTTAGTAAATGTGGTCCTTTAGTATATAGTATCTACCAGTGGATCAGATGAGTACCATATATATCCAAACCCAACAGAGACTCCAAAAACAATACTTAATTTTGGTTGGATTAGAAAAATATCCCCTGGCTGTGTGGTTTAAAGTTGAAATATTTGCATTCCCTGTGTGTGTGTATGTATGTTAATTCATATACTAGGCATCTGTATAGCAGGAGCTAACCAAGGATAAAAACACTTGTCCTGGACACCCCATCAGTAGAAAAACAAGACAATATCATGACCATACGTATACTACACTGAATTGACTGTTGTTTTAAACATATCATGTGGTATTTGTCTTTTGGATTTTTTATTCAGGAAAGACAGTGTGTATCAATTCATTAGCCTTACAGCCTTCAAAATTGGCCTCACCCCTGTACTCAACTTTGACTACTAGTTTTTAGTTTTGCTGGTCTGCTTTGACACTGCATTGTTGTGTGCTTAGACATTTTCTTTTCCACCACTTGTTTGAGGGTTGAGAGTGGGCCTGCTGTTCCAAACATATGCTCCTCCCTGTTTCAGCATCTGCTGACTATCATATGTGAACAGTATTTAAGAAAAAAAAAGGAGGAAGTGGTTCTGTGGGTCAAGGCCTGTCTTGAGAGTTTCCTGTCTGCATTATGAATGTCCACGAGATTTGCCAGTACCTTTGACTGGGAGAAAGTATTCCTCTTTTTTTTATTTCTTAGAACATCTAAGAGGATGGCATCTTTCTTTCAACTTGCCAGGCAGTGTGTCTTTGTTTCATAGGGGATTTTCAGATCAGTAGCTATTTCAAGTAGAAAACCTCTAGTTGTCCAGTTATGGGGTCATTATATGTGCATCCTTACTTGCTCTGGGTGTCTCTTCTCAGCATACAGAGACTGGTGAGGAGGTGTTGCAAATGTGTGTGGCTGTGAAAAAGAAGCTACAACTCTATTTCTGGAAAGACAGAGAATTTCATGAATTGCAGGTAAAATTTCACTGCTACCTGATCTGTAGGTTGGGTGGGAGCTGCTATAGAACTTGGCCCACAACTCAAAAGATTTCTAGTGAGGGTCAGGCTCCCGGTCTTGGAGTTCTTCCCCCGTGAATGCTCTGCTCTGAGTACATGAGAGCTTAATCATGCCCTCTTGTCAAAGTCTCCTGGGTCGCAGGGACAATACAGTTAAACATCTGTATGGATTGGTTTACTTCAAAGTAAATTTTCACCTTTCCAAATACACCTGTCCAATTCATGGGTGAATTTTATTTTTATTAAGGGTGATTTCTTGGCTTTGCGCTAGTAGGATTCTATTCAGACAAGGGTGACAGTGATTTTCCAGAGTGGAAGTGGAGTAACAGGCAAGTTTTTTTCTTACAACACCTTTCCAATTGAACTCTTATTTTTTCCTTCAGGGGGACTTTAGTGTACCAGATGTGCCCAAGTCTATGGCATGGTGTGGAAATTCTATCTGTGTTGGTTTCAAGAGAGACTACTACCTAATAAGGGTAAAATTTGTTATTTTGCAAATGTCATCATTTGCCTTGGGGAAGAAGGTTATGAGGTTACCTGAGGGAGATAAGTCTGTGCTCTGAAATACAGGTCAGAAGACTACCTTACATAGGTAGAGCTTTTGGTATAAGGTTTGTCTTTGTGGGGTTATTTTTCATGCTCCCTGCATTTTCTACAAATAAGATGTCTGCATGACTGAAACCAGGCAGAGTCAACTTTCAGTTCTCAATGTAATGAATTACCCTGTTCCTAATTACTGGGACATAATAGTATTGTCCAAAGGCATAGCGTTGTTGTGAAATGCTATCTTGAGGTTTCATTCAGTGTTCAGGAATTAGAAACTAATTTTTGTGTTATTTTAAGTATTTGAAGATTGAGTTTCCTGCACTCCCCCACCTTTTAGTATATTTATTTAAAAAATGATTTTCACTTTTTTAAAAATCTCTAGTCACAACTATTTATTATAGAAAGCAGGAAAATCATCTCCCCACTCAGAAATAATTACCATTAACCATTTGGTATCTGTCCTTCCACCCTATTTATATAAATGTCATGTCATGCATGTATTGTAACCTACTTTTTCTCCTAACCTGAGCAGTGATTATCCACAATTGTTTTTTCCCTCCAATAATGTAAAAAAGGCTGGTGGACCATTTACATCATAGGTTAATCTACCTTTCTTAGCTCCGTGTCCCTGTCATTATCCAGACTTAGCAATCTGGAAGTGTCCTTCTGCCTTCCTCCTTCTCTACCCCTTACTCTGTTTGCCTTTAAGTGTTTACTAGTTAACATATTCCTTTTTTATATTATTGGCATCTCCAAATTTTATCAGCATCAGGGCTGCAATCTCCTTGAGGAATCACTGCTGTGCGCCCCACAGAATGGCATGTGGGTGCTCGAGGGCAGGGGCTGGGAGAAGGGGTGGGCCATGAGGTGGATAGCTCTCACTCCTCTGGCAATCTGGGCTGCCACCATCCCCCAACCAGCCCTTTAAGGGTTGGAACGCTTGCTGTAGGACCAGTCTTTTCAAAATTTATTAAATTTAAAAAGTTTAAATAAAATTCATTCCTTTTGACATACAGTTCTGAGTTTTGGCAGATACCTAGAGTTGTGTAGCTATACATTCCCACTGTCATGACTCAAAACAATTTCATCACTCTAGAAAATTCCCTCATCCTGTCCCTTTGAAGTTAGCCCCTCTTCCTATATCCTATCTTCTAGTAACCACTGATCTGTTCTTCATCTCTTATAGTTTTGCTTTTATAGAATGACTTATAGGTGGAATCATACAGTAAGGAACCTATCGAGTCTACCTGCTTTCACTTCACATAATCCACTTGATATCCATCTGTGTTGTATATGTCACTATATTCTTTATGGCTGAGTAGTGTTCCACAGTATAGATGAGCTATCATTTATCCATTCATCAGTGGAAGGACAAACTTGTTTCTAATTTTTAGCCATTATTAACAAAACTGCTACAAATATTTGCAGACAGTTTTTTTGTGTAAACACAAATTTTCATTTCTTGGGCAAATGTCCAGAAATGGAACTGCTGGGTCATTGGTAAGTTTGACTTGACTTTGTAAGAAGCCAACACCCAAAATGACTGTAACAGTTTGCATTCTCATCAGCAGTGAGTTTGAGTTCTTATTTTTCTGCATCCTGACTGGCACTTGACTTCATTGTTGCCAGGTGCTTGTCTCTGTGAAAGAGAAAGTGGGAATGGCTTTTACATTGAGATTTGTCATAACAAACTCCATAATACTTCCTTAGACCATAAAAAGAACATGATTGCATTCTGAAGGTTTGGGTTTTATCTGGCTTTTCCAGGCTGAGTCCATGCTTTGGCTGGAGAATTGCTTGGTGACTCACTTTGTATCTTCCTGTAGGTGGATGGAAAGGGGTCCATCAAAGAGCTCTTTCCAACAGGAAAACAGCTGGAACCCTTAGTTGCACCTCTAGCAGATGGAAAAGTGGCAGTGGGTCAGGACGATCTCACTGTGGTGCTCAATGAGGAAGGAATCTGCACACAGAAATGCGCCCTGAACTGGACAGACATACCCGTGGCTATGGGTGAGAACAACTGTGCCTGCTGCTTGCCACTGGGGGTGGGGGCTGTGTGTCATATGGCAGAATGGAACCCCACCCCCAGCTTAACAGACTGTGGTTTACAGTGTCATTTGGTCTCTTTTCCCCTTCTTTTCTAGGGTCATTAAAAATAGGCTATTCTGGTCTTATAAGGAAGCTGGGTCTTGCCCTAGAAGTGGAATAATAAGTGAATTTTACATGTTAAGAGTGATTGTTATTTTAACTTCTAGCTATTCTCTGTTTAACCTTTCATAGTTTTATTGAGTCCTCTGCAAATAAACCATATCTTCAAATTAGTGGAATTTTTTAATCATGTGATCTTGTAAATCAGTATTGAAGGGCTTCTGATGTGGTGGTTTCTCACTGCTGCTATTGTAGGTTAGCGCTGCAGTCTGCTTTTAGCTATGAGTCTGCCCTACACATTGGGCATTTCTGTTCCTATACCTGCCTTCAGGCTTCCAGATGGGGGATGAGGACAGTCTTCCTAGGTAGAATAGGAGAATCACTATCTGACAGGAAGAATGCTGTCCTCCTCAGAAAGGTGTGCGTTTTAAACATCCTTTACTTTGTTCTGTTCTTACCTTTACTGCTTCCCCAGATTCCAGTCATTTTGACCATTTCCTTATACACTGCACCGTCATCTGTGCCTTTTTCTTCTCTGCCCGACAGCTCCTGTGCTAACTCATGTGACCAGCCCTTTTCAGACACACTTCCTCTAAGTAGTCTGCTCTCACCCACAGGCAGTCAGTCGCTTCCCCTGTGGCGCTTCCCTCTTGGGCTTCTCTGTCACGGTGCCCACTGTCCCCACAAGCTGCAGTGGTTGTGTGTAGTGGTTGTGTGGTTCTGCTCTTATAGGAGCTCATGTCTTGATCTGCTTGGAGCAGTGCCCGAAAATTCAGAGCGTCTCAGTAAATTCTTGCTAAATAGATGAATCTCCATCAGTGGCAACAAGCCTCTCTGCCAAGTTTTAGAGACATAAAGAGATCCAGACTGTCACTGTGGCTAGAGAGGCGGGAGTACTGACCATTGTTATGACAATCTAAAGGGTTTCTACTGTAGATTGCAATTTTTATTAAATAAGACTATGTGAAAGTAGGCCAGATTTTATTTTTATTAATTTTTTTTTTTAAGATTTATTTATCCATACAAGAACTAGGATATAGGCCATAGGTGCAGGGAGTGAGAAGATTCAGCAGAGACAGTGGGGAGCAGAACAGGCACACTGCTGAGGGGAGCAGCAGGCGAGACAGGAGAGGTCTGCTGCAACATGTGAGTCAGCTGCTGGATTGAACTCTTGCCTCTGTGGCTGCTGATAGCTTGATGGGGCTGAAACTTAACCTCTGCACCATAAGGGAGGCCCCATTAACTAGGCCAGATTTTAAAAGAAGGGAGACATTTTACATGTTTTTATACAACTTAATGCTAGGGAAAATTGTACTTATTTTAAAATGTGCTGGCATAAAAGGAAAAAAATCCAAAAAGCAGAAGCAACATGCTTGTTTAAATTCATATTTTGGTAGGGTGAAATAGATCAATATAATAACAGCAGTAACATTCACTTCAGTGCAAATACCACTTCAGTCTTGGTTTCCTTATTTCTGAGTTCCCTTCTGGCTTTGAAATTATATCATACTATTTAGTTATTGTATAGATTGTGAATATAAATTGGAAACGTTTTTATCAGAAATAGATAATTGGGAAATTAAATCACAGCAAATTAGCCACAGTAAGACTATGATTATGAATACTGTTTATGAATATGTCTTTGAGATTAAATTTCTATATGATAATCATGCCATCTAATGGGTCACTTTTTACTAAATTAAATGTATAGTTCAAAGTTATTGTGTTTCTATTGCTTCACAACAGATATTCAGAACTCTCATCCTGCAGGGCTGAAACTCTGCATATTAACCAAACAGTAGTTCCCCATTCTCCTTCCTCCCCATCTTTTGTTAACCACCATTCTAATTTCTGTTTCTATGTATTTGACTACTTGAGATATCACACATAAGTGAACTCATAATATTTGTCTTTCTGTGATTTGTCTCTTTGACTTAGCATATATGTCCTTACACGTCATCCAGGTTGTAGTATTTGATAGCATTTACTGCTGTTAATACTGAGTAACACTCCATTGGACGTGTATAACATATCCTTTATCCATCTCCTGTTGATGGACATTCTGGTGAACTCTACCTCTTGGCTCTTATTATACCACCGTGAACATAGGTGTCCTAATATCACTTCAAGATCCTGCTTTCAGTCTTCTGGTCAGACAGCTCTGTAGTGCTGTGCTCTCTAGCCCATTATGCCACTAGGGCGGGCCCAGAGTTTTGTGCCATATTTGCTAATTCTCTTCAGTTACATTAAATATCCTTTCCTATACTACCTCTCAAATAAGACTTTATTTGTAAGAATTTTATGGTTTTGTCAACTTTTTCAGTACTTTTGTGAGATTATTCTGCTCTACCGGCATTCTGTCCTTTGGGCTGTCACATGCCTTTCAAAGAGGACAGAAGTGGATATGGTAAATGTTATTTTCAAGAGGCAGAGTTAAAAAAGTTGAACAAAGGGGATTGAACTAAGGAATTTACGCAGGTTCTTTCTCAGCAGGGTAAATCTGGAGTTATGGATAGTTGAATGAAAGTTTTTTTTTTTTTTATGTGATTGTTAACATAGGAAATCAGTGTTAAGATTCACAGCAAGTGTCAAATAGGAAATGACTATCCTGAGAATGTCCTCTGGCTGCCTCCTCTGAACCATTAAATAGCAGGTGGAGCTTTGCATCTTTTCTCTGTGAAAATCTCAAGCAGAAACAACATTGTTCTGCTTGAGAAATGTAGAACTCTTTCTTTGGCATAATTTTAGGGAACAAAGAAGTCACCTTCTTGCTGTTTCTAGAAGAATGATGTATTGGTATGGGCAGCTGTAGTTGGCTTTGGCAGGCCTATCATTGTGACTAAAGACAAAGGAACAGGTGAAGCTTTTACCTCATTCTTAGGGGAACACAGAAGGAGAGGGACGAGGTGACTTGGCAAAGCTGGGTGCCTCCTTTTTGTGTAAGAGCGTTCCTTAAGTGTTACTTAGGCAAACAAACTTTTTTCTTTTTATAACAACCACATTGTAGCATCTTGGCTTAGTATTTGACTAGTGGAGTTTTGTGAGATTCATTAAAATGTAGCTTAGAAATGGGTGACTAAATAAGCCTATAAGCACAAAGCCATGGACTGGTACTGTAACTCAAAATGTTCTCTCTCGTACAGAGCATCAGCCTCCTTACATCATTGCAGTGTTGCCTCGCTACGTGGAGATCCGAACATTTGAACCAAGGCTTCTGGTCCAGAGCATTGAATTGCAAAGGCCCCGCTTTATTACCTCAGGAGGGTGAGGAGTCTACTCTAGCTGCCACATGGCATCTAGTTATCCAAAACTAGAGTCAATTCCTGTGTTATCATAAAACCTGTGCTCTTTTACTAATATCTTACTTTTGCCTCCAGATCAAACATCATCTATGTGGCCAGCAATCATTTTGTTTGGAGACTCATTCCTGTTCCCATGGCAACCCAGATCCAACAGCTTCTCCAGGACAAGCAGTTTGAATTGGCTCTGCAGCTCGCGGTAAATCTTGCTTCTGAGATTGGGTTGAGTCTCCCATCATTGTTCTCCAAAGTGGATGGTTTGGATGTGGGTGCTCATGCTTAGTTTGAACTGGTAATGTTAGGGTCCAAAATCACCCGGTTGTCCCCCGCGACAAAGAACAGGACCAGCGATGCACAAGCAAGCAGAGTTTATTAAGCCAGCTAGCTGGGGTCAAGCCTCCCTGCAGGCACACAGGCCACACAGGGAGAGCAAGACCCAGACCTTAGGAATGTCAGAGAATATATAGGCCCTTATCGGCTGTTACATACATCATAGCCGGTGCAAATTCAAAGAGTAACAAGCTTCACAGCGCTCAAGGACAGATTTCTAAGAACAGATGTCTCAGTCATGAGTCAGGAGCTGATATCAGGGCTAGTTTCAGCCAGTTCCAGGAGCTGGCACCAGGAATGCTATCTGCCTGCCCTCCTTTCTGGGTCCAGGGTGAGTCTGAGACCCAGACAGAGGGGCCTAGGGGCCTAACAGTAGAATAGGCACAAAGTTGAAAGTCAGAAGACATGGATTCTGGGTTTGACTTTGCCATAATATATCTATATAATTCCAAGTGATTTTGCTGCCTTTTAGTTGGCTTTTCTGCTAGATGTGGAATGCATGCCAGCAATAATAGAATACCTTGTAGACTTAATAGAATGATATGATATAGCCTTGAAAATTAAAGACATTGCAGACGCTGGTGTAAAGTAGCAATCATAGATGTAAAGTGAGAGTGGGCTGATGTGATGGCTAGAGGCCCTCTAAAAGTCCCCACCACTAGACTCTTGTGTGGGGGTAAGCAGGCCCCCTTTAGCTGTTCTGAAACAATATCTGGTTGCTGCATTTAGCAGGGCTGCAGCCTTATTTTGTGACTGTCACGGTCCTTGAATCGTGCAGGAATGTTACGCTCAACACGGTATGGACCCTTTTCTTGTCCCAGTGATGCACCTGTTGTCAGCACTCTTCTCAGACCAACTCCCAGTCACGTCTTCTTTCAGATGTGCAGTGCTGCTCCCTGTCATCTGAAGAGTGGGTTTCATTTCAGGAAACAGTCCAGCGCCATTCTGAGCAGTGCTGACTTGGTAAAAGAGAAGAGAGATTTTTATGAGGAGAGTGGTAGGAAAACTTAATGTCCAGACTATCTTAGAAATGATTGAGTTGTAGAAAAGTCATGATGCATTTTTGCTTGAAAAAAAAAAACAGAAAAAAATAACATCATGGTTTTTCTAACAACCCAATACTTCTGAAAGAAAAGAGATCACATATATCGGAGTATCTGTATTCATAGTCACATGGTGGATACTTTTGAAGAATAGCATTTATTTTGGATATATAAGAGTCTACATTAAAAATCAGTCACAGGCCCTCCCTGGTGGCGCAGCAGTTTAGAGCACAGCACTAAGAAGCTTAAGCCACTTCCATATGAGTTCAATCCCCACCTGCCCTGGAGGAGACCACATGGCAAGGCAGACCTCTCCTGGCCCGCCCGCTGCTCCCCTTAGCAGTGTACTAAGTAGATCTGCCTGTTCTGCTCCCCTCTGTGTCTCTGGTGAATCCTTGCACCCTCCGCATCTCTGGCCTGTACCCCAGCTCTATATGTATGAATAAATAAATCTTTAAAAAAAAAAAAAACAGTCACAAACTGGCCCTCCCTGGTAGTGCAGCAGGTTAAAGCCCTGCACTAAGAAGCTTAAGCCACTTCCACATGAGTTCGATTCCCGCCTGCCCCGGAGGAGATCCACATGGCAGGCAGACCTCTCCTGGCCCGCCCGCTGCTCTCCTCAGCAGTGTACTTCGTCGATCTGCCTGTTCTGCTTCCCACTCTGTCTCTGGTGAATCCTCTCACACTCCGCATCTCTCTGGCCTGTACCCCAGTTCTGTATGCACAGATAAATAAATCTTTAAAAAAAAAAATCACAAACAAAAAGCTAGTCTTAATAGCTAAAAGTGTTTAATATTTATAAAGGTGATGTCTTGGGGCATTTAATTTCAGCATTTTATTCTTTTCATCCAACTCAGGTTATACCTTACATTGTTTTATTTCACTTGCATTTTGAAAAAAATGTACAGCCCTGAACCCAACATTTTATCCAAGAAAAAATAACCTTTGTAATCTATTTGCCCCTCTCCAGTTCACCCCTCTCTTTGTCTCCCCTCCAGACATAGCTATTATCCTGAGTTTTGTGTATATCCTGTCCTCACAATTTTTCTTTGGTTTGTTCGTGTGTGTGTGTGTGTGTACTTGAATACTGTTTCTAGTTTTTGAAGTTTATAAGGAAATCATGTAGTACATAGCTTTTTTAGCATCTGTTTTTCTTTATAGGAATGTCTCAGTACACTTAGTGTTTCTCCTGCTGCTAATTGTCTGTTTAATCTTTACTAGAGAAGATGGAAGTAGGTTTCCATTTCTTTCTTTCTCTTTCTTAGGTTTGTTTTGACCAGCACTGTTACAAAAATGGTTGGTTGACATCACGTTAGTTCTGGAGGAAGCTGCTTTTCATTTAAATAATCAAAGAACATACATGAAACTTTCAGAGGACAACTTCTAGACCAAACTCTGGTGTTAACAAAATGTAAAGCAGCATGTTAGAGAAGGAACAGTTTCCCATGGGTTGGAAAAAGCATCCTAATGTTGTACCCTTTCAAGATAGATTGGGAACAGGAAACAGGGTGTGTTGAAGAGCCCAAGGAAATGAAAGAAGTGGAAATAAGTATTTTGGAGCTCATCCTGCCTGCAGCAGAAAGTGTGGCTGAACAACAGGAAATAAGCCACATGAGAGGCTGGTGCCAAGTTCTGGAAACCTTTTGAAGCTTAGCTCCAAGTTTGGCCACGTTTGATGGTAGTCTAGACTAACGTGATGGCAGCAGAAAAGGGAAAGACATGAGAGGAAGACATTGAGAACTATTCTGAAAACAAATTCAATTAATAAAGATTGAGTAACAAGTGATATAATGGAAAGAAGATTGCAGGGAAGAAACAAGGGTAAAGAAATAGTTAACACTAAAAGCTTTCTATCAACAGGACCTTTCCAACTGTGCCAGCTATGTGAAATGTCTTTTATTCCTTGTGCAGCCTGTGCTCTTACGGCCAGGTGCTCTCAGCTTGGCCAGGATCATGCCCTTCTCCCTGTCCTGTCTGTCACCTGCCCAGCCTGGCCTGGATGACCTAGCTCATCCTATACAGCTCCGTTTGTATTCCTCCAGCAATCTGTCTTGTACACACCACCTGGACTAAATTCAGTGCCTCTGCCAAGTGCTTCTGTCATCACTCTTAACCCTGTATTGTTTTGGCCTTGATTATTTTGTTTTTAAATTATGTTCTAGATTGTATTCATATGCACAAATGTCCTTTTTGTTTTGATGTTCTGGGTTTAAATCCAGAAATTCCTTTGCACGTAGTTGTCAATTGTCCTTGCATCCTCTGATCTGTATAGTTCCTTAATCTTTCCTTGTTTTTCATGGCCGTGGCAGTTTACAAGAGTACTGGTCAGGTATTTTGTGAAAAACCTTGTGTAATATAAAGGCATAGTTATTATCAGTGTTATGTTTAGGCTATAAGGACAGATTGTGGGCAGCTACTATCTAGCTGTCTTGTACCTTCTGGGGTATTGTCTCACACCTCGTATATACTGAATAAATATTTGTTCAGTGATTGAACTCTTACCTGTTCTACTCTCGTTAGGAAATGAAAGATGATTCTGACAGTGAAAAACAGCAACAGATCCATCACATCAAGAACTTGTATGCCTTTAATCTGTTTTGCCAGAAACGTTTTGATGAATCCATGCAGGTCTTCGCTAAGCTTGGCACAGGTAATTAATTAGCAAATGTGACCTTGGAATAAGGCACTAATGGAGGGAGGGGACACTGGAAAGGGAGAAATGGTACTGGAAGGGTTATGCTTGTCTCAATTGTTATTCCTTCCAGAATCCTCTGGGTGGCCCTGGTAGTTAACACGTTTACAGTCCTAACTAATCTTAAGAATCTGGTCCCATCCACAGAAAAAGACTTCTAATTTTCTAGGATGATTTACTCCTCATTAGGAAAAAGTGGCAGAAAACACATTTCAGTTCAACAAAGGTTTATGTGTTCTGACAAAAGTCTCTGACCTGGCCCTTCCTGGTGGCGCAGCGTGTTAAAGCGCAGCACTGAGAAACTAAAGCCACTTCCGCATGAGTTCGATTCCCGCCTGCCCAGGAGGTGACCACATGGCATGGCAGACCTCTCCTGACCCGCCCGCTGCTCCTCTCAGCAGTGTACTTTGTCGATCTGCCTGTTCTGCTTCCCACTCTGTCTCTGGTGAAGCCTCTCGCCGCCCTTGAGCCTCTGGCCTGTACCTCAGTTCTGTATTCACAGATGAATAAGTCTTAAAAAAAAAAAAGTCTCTGACCTGAGCTTAGTTGCATTAGACAGTAGGTCATTTTTGAGAGCCATTACTGGGCGTTTTGGCAAGGCCTCAGTGTCCTAAAAACTCTAGCCATCAGAGTTTCATGATGATTAGGCCTCTGAGTTCATATTACCTGTCAGTAGGCAAAGTTTCTGGAGCTCTTTGTGCTCTGTTCTCTACAACATAGTGCAAATAATACCTTTCTCATACTATTAGTGTAAAGATTAGGGAAAGTATTTAGGATAGTGTGGTAATTGCTAGATGCCAGTTAAGTTTTTGCTATTACTATAATTAAGCCTTTTGTTTCTGAATATTCCATTTTTGATTTAGATCAAGCTATATGTATTTGGTTTGAATACATATAATATCCATTAATTCTCTTCATTACTTTTCCTTTTTTCCACCTCCCCTCAACCTTGCCAATAATGAACTGTGGACCCTGTGTCAATTTCGGTTCTTAGGAAGCTCGATTTGGGATGTCCACTATAAAATGTATTAATACTTCTGTGTTCAGAATTTCCCAAAATACAAGATAGGGAGAAAAATCAAGAGACTATTATCAGGACTGTATTTTAAAGAGAGCTTCTGCTGCAGTGTAAGAAATTACAGAAGTGCAGGATTAATTGAGAGTATTTTGAGAAGGGTTACTGAGACCACTTAGGAAGACAGACAGCTATTCTTTTCTAGGCTGGTAATTTCAAGCCCTTATATATATATATATATATATATATTTTTTTTTTTTTTTGTGTGAATTTGTTCTATATAGTCAATATATCAGCCTCTTGCCATGTATGCTGCACACATATTCCCTAGCCTATTGTCTGGTCTTTTTGTTTCAGTAATGTTTATTACTTTTTGACCTTTTCAACTTCAGTGTCTTAGCAGTTTTTTTCTTGGGAAATATTTTCTCCTCTGCTTTTAAAGAGGAAAATTTAATCCTGTGTATGTGTGTCTTAGAATATAGTCATGCACTTCTTGTAACATTTTAGTGAAATATCCATATTGATAGTGCTCAAACTATATGTGTATAGCTCATTGTGTCCTTGTTAAGTAATAGTCCTAACTTTTTTTTAAAAAAAAATCAGCCTGGAACTTAACTTTATTTTGTCCTGAAGTTGCTGGGCTCCTTCTGGGGAATCTTCTTTACCTTCCATGTAGATCCTACTCACGTGATGGGCCTGTACCCAGACCTGCTGCCTGCAGACTACAGGAAGCAGCTGCAGTATCCTAACCCACTACCTGTGCTCTCGGGGGCTGAACTGGAGAAGGCTCACTTAGCTCTGATTGACTACCTGACACAGGTAGGTCTAGTACAGGGGTATGTGGAAAGGACCTGGGAGTTCCAATACCTGCCTCTCTCTGGCAGGGAATTCAGGGCCTGGCATCCATAGATCTGTGGGTGGGCACAGGCTCATTTTGCTTCTTTTTCTATTTTAACAGAACCATTGAGCTAGTTTTTGCCAAATCCTGATACCAGGAAATACAGTTCATGATAAATTCACACAAAACTGTACAGGAATGAAAAAGAGTGAATTTTAGTTGTTAGAACACTAGATGAGGCTTTTTATAACAAATTTTGTTGTAGCATATGTAACACTGAGAAAAAGTACCTGCTGTATGCAGAAAACTTGGAAAATACCAAAAATGTTAAAGCAAACATACAAATCAACTATAACTCTATCACCCAGAGAAAATTAATTAACACTTAGTGTTGTCTTTCCAGATTTGTGAATTAGTTTTATCTGTTGGTTTACTTATTACAAAAAATAAAACAAATTATCTCTTTATCACCTATATTGTTTTAAAAGCCTTATATTGGGAAAGTCCTTCCCTGTCAGTAAATATTCTTCTAAAATGTGTTTTCTTAGGGAGAGTATAAAGATTTAAGTTTTTGTCTTTACTATTATAGACAGATAAATGAAATTTTAAAATCAACACGAAAACATCTCTAATGAAGCCTTTTAACCTCAAATTTCCATCACAGAAGGCTCTTATTTCCTGAGTGCACCCCTTCAGAGTCTCATTTTTCCCCTTATAGTCCTGAAGTGTCGGAGACCAGCTCCAACTTTTGAGGTGTCAGGAGGCAACACAGGCAGGACCCTAAGATGGGAAGGCGTCGGCGTGCAAAGATTCCAAGAGGGGGAGAGGAGTGGGAGTGAGGAAGACACGGGAGTCGGAGTTGGGTGCAAATCTTCCTGCTCTGCCTTTAGCAGAGGTTTATTTTATACATTTCCAGCAGGCAGGGGGATGGCATTAGCATACGAAAGGGGTTAAGATCACAATCACCTTTTTTCTAAGAAAATGGTCTGGGGTCGCAGGAAGAGGAAATTTCTTGCTAATCAAGAAACTTGCTAAAAGGTTTCAAGTAAGTTTTCTACTTTGAAGAAACTTGCCAAAAGGTTTTAAGTAAGTTTCCTTGAGGTCTAGACATAATTTGCTCTGAATAGGAGACATGGGTGAATTTGCTTATCTAAAGACTAGATAGTAGAATCCTGAAAGACTAGCCAGAAAGACTTTTGTGGATTGCTTTGAAGTGTAGCAGGTAAAACTTGACTAGCTCTAAAACAGGCAACCTGGATGAATTTCCATATCTAAAGCCAGACAGTAGGAAGTTTAGGTAATTCTGTAGAGGGAGGCTAGGTGAGATAGCAGAATAAGATTCGGGTTTTCCTCAGTCCAGCAGTGAGAGACTTTGCAGAAACAGCCCTTTTGTTTTTATTGATCAGCCAGTTGTTAAGTCACTTTTGACTTCAGAGGAATTTCTCACCCTGGTGCAGTGCTTGCTTGTCAGGGCAGGCAGGCCTTATGCAGCTGAGGCAATCCAATTGTAGGCTGAAAGTTGCTCAGAATATTTTGATATTACGATTATACAAAAAAGGGAGGTCATAACACAAGTTAGCATGGAAAGTCTGATCTTTCAGAGCTTTTCCTGAGCTACCCGGAATCTGTCAGACGATAGCCGTCGCATAGCTTGTGTCACTGAAGACCTTCAGAAGGGTCTTAGTGTGGGCACCATTGCTGGAAAATTTCCAAGCCAGTTTCCTGCATCTGCCTCTGTGTCAGTGTGGCTCTGGATTACAGGTCTGATCAGGCAGGTGCTTCCCTGCTCTTCTTTGACCCTGGGCCCGAGGGGTGCCGGGCTGTGACTGGCAACCTGTGAGGGCACACAACCTTGCTTCTGTCTGCACACCACATGACCCATATTCCAAATGAGAAGGTTTCTGGCACAGAATGTCCCCTAAGCTGGTGGCATTCTGGAAGGCCCTATAGCGCAGTGTTTTAGCTTTAGGAAGCCAGCACATTCTCCCCTTCCCTGGTCTTCTCCACTGATGTCTGCAGTGTGTAAAGTTGACTAACACTGGTGTTGTGCCAGACAGATGGCGGGGCCTATAGACCACAGGCGTTGCCAACCACAAAATAGTACAGACGGGATGATTCCTTTACATGAAATTCTAGAATAGGTAAAACCAATATTTTATTCCTTGATGGAGGTGGTGATTACACCCATATAATTAGTGGGTTGTTGGAAAAGTCATGACTTTTTCTTCTGCTTTTCAAGCAAAAGTGGGTCATGACTTTTCCGATAACTCAGTAAGTCTGTGAAATAGTAGTAGCTGTGGCAACTTGGCCTTCAGCTGTTTTGATCCTTATAAAATGGTTGCTTATATGAGGTAAGGGTGGATAGGTGTGAGCTGCTTGGAGGTGTTTGGAATTAGCTGGTTGCTCAGGTACCAGGAGCAAGATTTAGCCCTGGCCTTTTCCCCACACTTTTTGGCTTTTGCAGAAACGAAGCCAGTTGGTAAAGAAGCTGAACGACTCTGATCACCAGTCCAGCACCTCCCCGCTCATGGAAGGCACCCCCACCATCAAGTCCAAAAAGAAGCTGCTGCAAATCATTGACACAACGCTGCTCAAGTGCTACCTCCATGTAAGTTATCTGAACACTTGGATACCCACAGCTCCCTGGCCCCCTGACCCAGGGAATGTGCCCCTTTGAGGCACCTGACAGCAGTAAGAGTGAAATCTGCATGATGGGTAACACCTATCTTTGATTGATGCCTGTGAGATTCTTGGAATTAAGAGAATAAGGCAAGAGAATGACCCAGAATTTTACAGGGGACTGGTCTTTTCAGTAAGATTGGGATTGTACTACAAGATAAACAGAAACAATATTCCCTCAAGGAAAGTAGCCTTTTCCTCCCCCTACCCCTCAAAAATACTGAAGCAGCTGGGTGAAATAGTGTTGATGCTGTCAAGCCACTCTCCGTCATCTTGACGATGTTGTCTGTGTTCTCTTGCTTGTGTTGCCCCCCTAACCTTCAGCCTGAGGCAGGCCTGGGCTGGGGGAGGGGGAGGTCTTTCAAGAAGCAGTTTCCACTGAAGTCCTGCTTCCTCTGCAGACCAATGTGGCCCTGGTGGCCCCCTTGCTGCGCCTGGAGAATAATCACTGCCACATCGAAGAGAGTGAGCATGTGCTGAAGAAGGCTCATAAGTACAGTGAACTGATAATCCTGTATGAGAAGAAGGGGCTCCATGAGAAAGGTGACCGGAGGAGGGGCTTTCTTTGACCTGGGAGGGTCTCTTGTACATTGACTGGGGCAACCTACCAAGCCGTGAGACTTTCCCATGGGGATGCACCTTCCGGAAGAGGCTCATGGCCTTCTTCTTGGGCTTGTGGCCAGCTCTGCAGGTGCTGGTGGACCAGTCCAAGAAAGCAAACTCTCCTCTGAAAGGCCATGAGAGGACTGTGCAGTACCTGCAACATCTGGGTAAGTTCAGCTTTTGAAAAGGAAGTGGAAAGGGGTTATAGTCAGGTGGACCTGATCATCTGGCCTTTGGATTCTGCCTGGCCACTTCCATCCGTCTCGTGTGTTTACCCGATTTTGTTCCTCCAGCTGGGGTCAGAATCCCCTGGGATGGAACCACAACCGTCCCTTGGTTTGTAGCCCTGAGTAGGGGGTGCTAAAATAAGCCCTGGGGGCTACTTGCACACCTGCCTCCTCAGTCCTCTGGGCAGGATGCGCTTCACCTGCTGAAAAGTCCTGCTTTTCCCTCTAGGCACAGAAAACCTGCACCTGATTTTTTCCTACTCAGTGTGGGTACTGAGAGACTTCCCAGAGGATGGCCTGAGGGTAGGTCATCAGGGCCTTTGGATTTATGTGTCCACTTGCTTGGTCCCAATTCTACTTAGAACAGCAGTGGATGGAGGGGGTGGGAGGACACGTCCTGTTTCTTTGCTGTTTTAGAGTAAGTGGGGTACCTGACCTAACAGGTCGCACGCAAGCTTCAGGTGCCTGCTTGTGCACCCTCCCCACCCCCCCAAGCCTGCTCCCCTGAGCCTTGCCTGTGTGGGCTGCACTGCAGCAAGGCAGTTCTGCTGCTGGATCTGCGGTTTGTTCCAGCAGATATTCACTGAAGATCTCCCGGAGGTGGAGGCCCTCCCACGAGACCGCGTGCTCGGCTTCTTGGTAGAGAATTTTAAGGGTCTCGCTATTCCCTATCTGGTAAGATATATTTTGATATGAACTAGAAAGATTTAAACCAGGCTGCAGGACCACATAGGTTAGGTATCAGCAGTTGAAGCTGGGGGTTGAGTCACATGGGGACCAGTTGAAAGAAGTTACTTCAACTTGGCAGAAAGAGACCCAGTAAGCCAAGCTGGAAATGTCCCTTTTTGATGATACCTCCTCAAACTAGTAGTGTAGAGAGCTGCAAGAGATGGATGTTTAAGAAAAAAAATGTCCGAACCACATTTGTACAGCCAGACTCGTGTGTGACCACAGGACAACTGAGTGAGTTTTAAGTTCCTGAATATAAACATTTAACCTTAATTACATGGGCTGTTCTGGGGAGCTATGGACAGGATTAATAAAGGAGCTTAGATTGCAAAAAAAATGCCTGATGTTGTGGGTTTTATGGCAGAATTTCCTGGTGGTTTTCGAAAAGCCATCCCTTGGTAATCTTGGCAGCTTAATTAGGGGCCAGTTTGGGTGGGATCAGCTGGGCCTTTTAAATATGAGAGTGGCTGGAGGGTCGGGCTGGGTCTTGGTCAGAGGGTACCAGGCAAACCTGCTATGTCTCACCCAGGAACATGTCATCCACGTTTGGGAAGAGACGGGTTCTTCGTTCCACAACTGTCTGATCCAGCTGTACTGTGAGAAGGTGCAAGGCCTCATGAAGGAGTATCTCCTGTCCTTCCCTGCAGGTACTGTTTCTCCTAGAAAGTAGGGTGGCCCAAAAGTAGGGTGCCTCCTGTGACCTAGGGAAACGGGCCTCGAGCTTCCATGAGGGCCCAGGTGAGCGGGAAGTTCCTCAGGGAGACAGGGCAGAGGGGCCTACCTTTGGCACTCACATGCTCTTGTCTGGGTCTGAACTACTCTGGGCATTGGCCGGGGCAGGAAAGGAGCAGATGATCCGCAAGAGGACAGCTGTGCTGATAAGAAATAAATCTGTAGGCTGGGCCAGAGTTTCTCGCTAAGCAGCTTGTTTCTGTTTGTTTTTAATTCAAGCTGATGTTTGGGAGCCATGTGGAGACCGTGAGGGGTCCAAGCGGACACTACCTGGGAGACCCTTTTTGAGCTCTGGGGTGACATTATTGAGCCCATCCCCCCTCACTGTCCTTACTGACCCCACACTGCCAGTGGCAGCATCTTCTCACTCTGAGTTTGGTTTTCCTTAAAGGGAGAACTCCAGTCCCTGCTGGAGACGAAGAGGGTGAGCTGGGAGAGTACCGGCGGAAACTTCTTATATTCTTGGAAATTTCCAGCTACTATGATCCAGGCCGGCTCATCTGTGACTTTCCTTTTGATGGTGAGTATCTAACTGAGAGCCAGAGTCCTTTTAGCTGAAGGAATCACAAAAGCTGGCTTTCCCCTTCTTACTCTCTCCCAGCCCTTCAAAAAGCTGAGCTTGGGGAAACCACGTTGTAGGTGTCCGGCTCCTGTTCGTTCCTCTCCGAAGACACTTTTGAATTGTGACTGAAAGGAGGCTCTCCTTGGGTGTGAACCATGTGCTAATTAATGTACAACCAGGTTGAAACTGGTTTATTGCTTCAGTGTAGCTTCTTAGCCAAGTTCATTGTGTAACAATTTTTGTAATCCTGTATAATTTATCTGGAAGTGACACACATCTATCTGTCTGGTGTATAAACTGAAGACGAGACCAGTCTTTGCTTACCTGAGCTGAGTGACTGGCATACTTTCAGCACGTATGCACTTGGCTGTTTGAGTGTGTTCTTACCCTGTTTATACAGGATCACAACAAATACAATGTAAAGCAACTCCTAGAATAGCTTGAAAAAAGTCCCAAGTCATAAAAATACTCTCTCCCACTTACATTGCCCCATGTCCATTCCTCTGATGACTGAGCCCTCAGCCCTGCGCTCAAGTAATGGCGGCAGTGGTTCCTTTATTCCTCTCCCTTGCAGGCCTCTTAGAAGAACGCGCCCTCCTGCTGGGACGCATGGGCAAGCATGAGCAAGCGCTCTTCATCTATGTCCACATCCTGAAGGACACGAGGATGGCTGAGGAGTACGTTGGCCCTGCGGTCCCACCTCGAGGGGTTAGAAGCAGGCTGCAGAGATGAGGTTGAGAAACCCTCCCCCACCACTCTTCAGCAGGCACAACATTCCCCTCCCTGAGCCCTGATTTTGGTTCTCACCAGACTGCTCAAGGAGGCAGCACCAGTGATCTCTCTAGGCATGGCTGCTCTCGCCGTGTCTCATACCGTTCTCCCTTGCAGGTACTGCCACAAGCATTACGACCAAAACAAAGATGGCAACAAAGATGTAAGTAGTGAGTGGCCCCAGGGAGCACATGGGCATTTTCCTGACCCTCTTAGCATTCCCAGCTGTCTCTGCTGAGGCCCTGGTGCAGGTGCCAAGATGAGACCCAGGCGCGGGCCCATGCTTTGACGGAGTTTGCACGTGCGTCTTCAGGGAGAAAAGGGGGTCTGTGCGTTCCTGGTTTCCTTGCGGTGCTCTGGCTTATATCTCTTGTTGGCCTTGTGGTTATTAGTGGCGCCCCTAGCCCTTTACTCTCAGAAGAGTCCCCATTTTTGTGATAAATTTTGTGGCTGATTGAGAAGGAACACCTGACGGTTCTGATGAGGCACACAGACACGTGCTGTGTTTAGAATACATGTGGATGGATCAATGTCTGTGGATGTTTTTGTCATCACTGAGGGTGGGGACACTACTGGAGTTTCAAAGGTAGGGGCTGTGTCACTGCTAAATCAGGCACAGGACAGCCTCCACGAAGTTACCCATAAACGTTGCGTGCTCAGGTGAGAAATACTGTGGTCTGGCAGCAGTAGGAAGTGTACCATCTCTTCTTGGGTTTGTCCCCAACTGCCAAAACATGACAGGGCCACGGCCTCCCAAGCCAGAGGATCTTTTTGAGTCATTTTACAGTGTTGGCATTTTGTCAGCAGGATGATGCTAAGCAAATAGCACACATTTGTTTTCTCCTGAGTACTAACCAAGCTCAACCCTGCTTAGCGTCTGAGGTCAGGCACATTCAGGGCAGTGCACCTGTGGACACGTTTGGTTTTTTCCTCAGAGGAAACACAAGCCTGAATTTTTTTCATAAAGGTGAAAGAAAGATGAGTTGTAAATGTTTCACGACAGTAGTAACTAAAAGAGCACCTCTCTTATGTTTAGGCATGTTTTGCTGGGAAGGGGGGAGGCCGCAAGGGGGTTTGGGAGGGTTTTTGTCAGCCTGATGCATGTGGCTTGTACAGGTGTATCTGTCTCTGCTGCGGATGTACTTGTCGCCCCCCAGCGTTCACTGCCTGGGGCCAATCAAGCTAGAACTGCTGGAGCCGCAGGCCAACCTCCAGGCCGCCCTGCAGGTCCTCGAGCTGCACCACAGCAAACTGGACACCACCAAGGTCAGGAGCTCTCTGAGAGGTGGAGGGCCCTGGGCGCAACACTGAGTGAGAAGAGGGAACGGAGAAAGAGGCTAGGATCCGAGAAGTCTGTCATTTCCTTATTCCTGTCCCTCTTCATGCTGGTCTGTCTCTGTTCTTGTCCCTAGGCCATCAACCTTCTGCCAGCAAACACTCAGATTAATGAAATACGCATCTTTCTGGAAAAGGTTTTGGAAGAAAATGCACAGAAGAAACGGTTCAATCAAGTACTCAAGAACCTTCTCCATGCAGAGTTCCTCCGGGTATGAGCCTTCTCGACTCTGGGGTTGTCTGGGGCATTTCTGATAGTCCCTTTAGACAAAGACAGAGCATTGTGTTCCTTTATCTGCAGCTCAAGCTGACCCAGCCACCAACTTGATATTTAGTTACAAGTGTCTCAGTCAGAGGACTCTGTGCAAGGGGGCGCTGGGCCTGTGTAGGCTCTGCCTTCTACTTCCACCAGACCATAGGATGTCACCCATCTCTGCTCTTCCAGGTCCAGGAAGAGCGGATCTTACACCAGCAGGTGAAGTGCATCATCACGGAGGAGAAGGTGTGCATGGTGTGCAAGAAGAAGATCGGAAACAGGTGAGCCTCCTCTGCAGCTGTGCGGCGTCAGCTGGATGTGGGGCCCACTCAAGGCGAATTCCGCCCCTGCAGCCAGAGAGGGAAGCAGCCTGTTAATGTTGACCGGCCACCTCATTCTGATCCTCAGAGGGCAGTCCGTGTTGTCTGTGGGGGTGGCTTCAAGAATTTAAAGGCCTAACTTTGTGGCATGGGACTGTTGACTTCTTGCCCATAAAGCCCTTCCCCTGTGGAAGCTAAAATTTGTGATGTAGATGGTGGGTTTGTAAGACTTGTATATGGCAACCAAGTCCTTATCTTTTAAGGATAAACCTCTGAAGGAAGAAAAGGGTCTTTCAACTGATGGCCTCATGACTTGAATAAAATTCTGAGCCAGCATTGTACTGTTCAAGGCATCTATTCTAGTTAGTCCCTTTGTCTTCAAGACACGTGATTTGTCCTGTTCCTTGTAAGGCTGGAAGGACCCTTATCTTTAGAAAGATCTGATTCACTGTGCTTCATTGGAAGAACTTGAAACATTCTGATGAGCATTGTCAGCTGTCAGGAAGCCAGTGCTGGGCCATGTCCTGCCCCTTCTGTCCATGTGTTTTACATCGATGCCGTAATAACAAGTCTCCCCATGTCCTCACACTGTGGATTTCATCCTCTGTGGGTAATTTGACAGAGATGAGATAGCTGCATAAATCCAGAGATACTGGGACAGGCTGTTCTTGGGGTTAGCATGGGCTGCTCTGGCATGGCTCCCAGGTACTGGAGAAGTGGTTTTTAGAGGTGACAGTCATCCCAAGTCACTTTCCCCCCTACAGTGCATTTGCAAGATATCCCAATGGAGTGGTGGTACACTACTTCTGTTCCAAAGAGGTAAATCCGGCTGACACCTGAGCCCAGCGTGCCAAGGATTCAGCAGATGGACAGCTCGGCGATCCCAGAGCAGAAGGGGCACCGGCCTCAGGACTTGGGAGCTGCTGCTACCACCAGGTGTCTCCCCACTCGAACACTACTGGCTCCCTGTGCCCTGGAGTATCTCTGAATTCACAGACTCACGGTCTGGTGTCGTCAGCTTTTTCATAGGAAAAGAGATTAGCTATACTTATATACCATTATGCTGCAGTCAGTTCCGAGAATTTAAAACCTGCTTGGACAGCAGGTATGGAAAGCCACCGTCTTGCCTTTGCTCACCTGAATAAGGAAACGCTCAAGTATGTGTGACCAGAGGGTGGTTTGCTTGAGAATTTTCTGTCAAGACCCATGAGGGACTTCACAGGGAGTCCTCCTTGCAGCTGACTGGACTTGTGTGAAGACAGCCACTCTCGAGCTCCATAGTTGCCAAGGACAAGCAGCTCATCCGCTAGGTGCTCAGAGTCATTTGTCCGCAGCAGCTGGGGCCTGTGTCTCCCCAGTGTCTCCCTGCTGATCTGTTTTTTAGTCTCTCTTTTTTTCTTACTATTTATTTTCTTTCTCTTCTTACTACTCTACCCAGGCTTTCTCTCCCACTTCACTGACATTGGGAATAATTAATATAAAACAAAGTGAAATGAGAAGCAAGCGGAAGTCTCCGTCTCTAGGACTACAGTGATAATTGATGACCTGGTCTGTTGTAGATAAGTCCTCTTTGGACTGCATGCCTCACACCTAGAGCCCTAGGAGAGTGGCACCCTTAGTCCCCTGGGGCTGAGTATGAGGGGAGCTATAAGGGCAGATGCACCATACTGGCTGTGGGACCTCAGAGGCAGACATCCTTCTCCCATTTCACCTCAGCCGCCCAGGGCAGCTGGGGCTAGTCTGTCAGTGGAGTGCTTAGTGCTCTGGGCGCCTTTTTCCTTCCAGCCAGCACCTTCCACTTAACTTACAGCTTGGCCTGGCTGTCATTCTCCAGCCTTGTTTTGTGGAGCTTGAGAAACTTGGGGTGGGGTAGTGTAAGTAGGCAGGTCTCTGCTGCAAAGCGGGAGCTGATGTGTCAGGTGTGCTTGTGAGCTGCTGGGGGCATGTGGGAGACACAGGAGGCAGGAGGAGCAGCAGCCCATGGGTGAATGAAATAATGCTGCCAGATGTGTTGAGTGTGTGCGCGTGTGTGTGCGCACCCTACGTGCAGCCTGCTGCCCACAGGATCCCCGAGAGGCACTGGGAGAGTGTGTTCCAATACAGCCCAAGGGACAGGGCGAGAGCAGCCTGTGTCCTGTCCTCCCCGGGGTTTTGCAGACTCACAGCCTTGTCCCTGTGTCTGTAACAGTAGTGAGGTTGGGTGACTGACAGGCTGTGACACTGTCAGGGGCCTGTCTGTGGCATGCTGTGGACCTCTTTAAATCGCAGACCGTGCTATGTGGGGGCCTGTCTGGTAGAGTGGCTTGCTGGTGTACATAGACTGGGCTCCTCCCAGGCACATGGGCTCAAGGGACAGACTAAATGCCAGCAGCATCCACACAGAGGGTGTGCTCCGCCCAGGTTTGGGAGGCCAAGTATCCCTCACCAGAGCCTCAGCGGCCACAGCTGCCCCCAAGAAACAGCGCTGCGTTTGACCTGGTGTGCGTGGGCTGGGGCCGAGCTTCCTTGGACAGCAGTAGAACCCTCAGGCCGGCCCTCCGCTGCACAGCAGAACTTCTCCCCACGCGCAAGCCCTGCCTCCCTGGCCCGCTGTTTGTATATGCCACTCCTCCCTGGGCAGTAGTTTGAAGCAGTAGAATACAGAATGTGTGCTTTCTGGGATGTATATGTGGAATGCATAACAACGTAACGTGAAACTGGAATAGATACACATAACCCAGTTTTCCAGCGCTCCTTCCCTAGAGGCTTCTTGCCCTCTGCAGAGGTACGGCTAAGGCAGGAGATGAAAAGCTGTTATGAGGATAAGTGGCGGTCTCTCTAATAAACAAAGTCAATTTGAGTCTCTTTTTTGTCCCACCCCTTCTTGTAGAATTTGATGAAATAGTGAGAGGACAGTAATTTAAATAAGGATTGGGGATAAATGGATTAGATACTAAGAAGGGCAATCTGACCCTGCGGTGTGTATTTGGCTCAGCCCTGAAGACAGCACAGGTGTCCTGCACGCTGACCACGCCCAGCTCGAGAACTCTATCGGATGTGAATTGTTTCCCCTTCACCTCACCTATGAGGCCCTCATACCTCTTCCTGCAGACTGGGGGCTGGGGGTGTAGGGAGGGAGACGGGGGAGGGAGACTTCTGAAAGGTATGGAATGGTTGGGGTTGAGGGGGCCTGAGGATGTTTGAAAAGCAGAGAAGTCTTGGTCTGTTTTCACCAGCGCCAAAAAGGCAGTTGGGGCCCTCAGTGTGCCTCTCTTGAGACATCTTTGACCATCCTGAGCTTTTTATGAGAATGAGAACTAATCTGGGACTTCACTGAGGTGTGACTTTTAGGAAAGGGTGTGGTCCAGCCCAGAAAGCACTCGAGTCGGGAGCACAGAGTGACAGACCTGCCTCCTGCCCAACTAATCTCCTTCAGGTTCTCCTGGCAAGGACCCCAGGCTCCTCTAGCAGGGTCTCGATTATAGACCAGAGAGTTGGACTCTTGCATTCTAAGACCCCAACACAGGTCGTGGCTCATGATCCAAATTCAGCAGTAACACACCATCCCCTTGTTCTGGGAATTTCTGGTCTGAACTTTCCCACAGACTTCATTTTAAAGTTGAATCACTTCAAGGGATGTTTCTTTTGTTATTTATTACCCTTGCTTATTTTTTCACAGTATAGACTTTCTCTCCTAAGATGTAGTCACCATAGTTTATCTACCACCACTGCACCCAAACACCCCTCCCTACTCCTCCACCCATGGGGATGTTTTTCCTGTCTCTAACTCAGCCCTTGGGGAGGAGAGGAGAGTTGACTGGGTCTGACTGAAGAAAAGAAATGTCTCTCAACAGCTCATGCCCCCACGGATCCTTTTTTCTAGAGGAGACTGGCTGCCCCAGCCACACAGATAATGTGTCCACAGAAAAGGAGACATCACATACTTCTAAAGTCTAAGACTTAATAATGGTCAAAAGACGACTCCCTGGACCCTTGATCACTAGTAGCTTTGTTAAGGAGAAGGATGTCCTAAAGGAACTCTGCAGTTTTGTGGACTCCACCACCTACTCCAGTGTTTGGAAAACTACAGCTCCCAGCAGTACCAAGGAGAGAACTTTGAGGACCGAAGGGCGGAGCTAAGCAGGCATTCTTTGGGGGATAAATAGAGAGCGGTTTTCCAACTGTCACTCTGGAGAGGTAACGGCTCTCTCTCTCTCTCTCTCTCTCTCTCTCTTTCCAGTTACTTTGTATCCCTTTTTCCCTAGGTTGTTCCTTCTCCTTTCCCCTTTTTGTAAATAAGCCCACTACCCTTTATATGTGTGCCTGCAGAACAATTACAGTTTAAGCGCGCGGGTGGGAACCCACAGACAGGCAGCCCAATTCGCAGGTGGGAACCCACAGATGGGCAGCCCAGTTCACTCTGGGCTACCCTGTAAGAGCTTAAGGATAGGCTCTGCTTTCTACCTGCCCTTCTCAATTGTACCTGCGCACACCCTATTTCTGTGCTTGAGCCACTGGGAGATTTCCAGTGATCCAGCAAGGGGCCATGTGAATTTCATCAGGATATGGATAGGCCCTCTCTACCTTTAGTTCCAGGATCTGGCACATGGGAGACCCTGTTTGGAGAACAAATGAGGAATTGGAAACACCTTTGAGTCCAGGTGAAACAGTGACACGGAGGTTTCCATGCTTCTGTTAGAGCTCTGGAGAAGGTGGGCCTTGAAAGTCAGTTGGCTTTAGGCCTTCTGGTAGCTCCTGATCTAGCACTTCCTGGCAGTTATACCCTAGGTCTGTTGCATCAGCATTGTCTGCAAGCCTTGTTGGAATAACAAACGTGGGTTCCATCCACACCCACCCGTGTGGTAAGGGCTGCACAGGTGGCTATTTTGTGCAAGCAGCCCATTGACTTACCAGGGGGCTGGGTTTAGGAATGTATCAGTTCTTTATCCTCCAGTTCTTTATCCTCTTGGCTATGGACTGAAGTTTCTTCTGCTTGTGAAAACTGGATGACAATTGCTTCCTGGAACAAGTCAAACCCCACCTCCAGCTTCAAGCCAAGTGGCCCTGAGTCCACAGAACTGCCAGCCCCGCCCACTGCACTCCAGTGAACCTGTCGGACCTGAGATCGCAACCAGTGTAGCCAGAGGAGAGCAGGGTGGCTCTGGGAAGCCGGCAGCGTTTCCTGCTGGGAAACTGGTCCTGTCATGCTCTGGGTGCTCTGGCCGAGGTGGCTGGCTGGCAAGGGGCTGCCCCTCCTGGGGGCCGTGCTGCTGCGGAAGAGAGAGAAGAGGGGACCCAAATGCAGGCAATGGCAGGTACGGTACCTGACCTTCCCTGGAAATTGGGGGCTGGAGGAGTTGTGGGAGCACAATCCCCTGTGAAGACTGAGGCCAGCCCCTAGACTGGGTTTGGATTGAGGCTGGGCCCAGTTTGTTTCAGACAAACTGGTGGCGATTGAATCTGAGTGTTACAGAGCAAAAATCCGAAAGCGTTCATTTTCACCATCTATTGGCTTTATTAAACCATTTGTGAATCAGACGCCATCCAATCTGGCAAGCAGAAAGGTGCTATGAAAAAGTGTACAAAATGAAAAGTTTTTATACACAGAAAGTGGGCAAGGTCAGGGAAGCGGAAATCAACTTGAGGCTTAAGTACCTACCTGTGCGAAATGGAGAAAAAGGTCTTATGTCCGGTTATCTCATTTTCCTTTGGGGAATGGAAAAGATCACCAGATTGGTGCTAACCAAACCACTCCACTCTGACCAGTTAGGACTACCTTTCTGGGAGAGGTTGACACTGAAGGGAATTTGAAACCACAGGTAGACTCTTGGGCATAGCAGGAGCATCTGCTTTCTGCACCTGTCATTTTCTTTTTAATAAGACCTTGGCTCTTGAAAACAATCCCCTCTCCACTTAGGAATGGAGGATGAGGTCATGCGACTTATCTCTGGCTGGCTTTTGTCCAGAAGACCCTAACCTGGCTGCAGAGACCAAGGGAGTGGGGGAGGGGCTGGGGTTCGGAGGGGCTGGCTTCCGGAAGTCTGCTGCTATCCCTTGAGTCCAAGATACAGTGTCTTGAGCAACACCTGAACCTAGGACAAGCTGGGTGGCTCTTGGTTTCTTCTCACCTGCCCACTGCCTCACAGGTGAGCCTTTATCAGGAAGCTGGTAGGTGGAGCAGATCGCAGCTTTCTCTTATTATTTACTCTCCTTTAGCACATTACTCCACTGCATTTAAGTCACATGTGCAGGAGCATTGTAGTTTGAAAGGAGCAACAAGTTTGTGGTGCATAATAGCTAATTAGTAAAAATGACTCCATGTGTTAAGCACCTAGACCAGGCCCTTTATATGACTTCTTAAAGCTTACCACACCCCTATGGGTTTATCAAACACACGATCCTAGAGAGGGGAGATCAAGTAACTTGCCCTAGGCCTTTCAGTTAGTAGGGTGGGGCTTAGATTTGAACTCAGGCTGATTCTGGGGCCAGGCTTATGGTCAACGTGCTGAATTCCAACACCTGGGCCCTTTGGCGGCCTCTGAGGTGCCTCACACACTGACCAGAGTGACCGCGGGCCAGCCTGCTGCTCTGTGATGGAATGAGGCAAACCCTAGCTGGGCACTCCTGTAGGGAGAACACCCCTGGCTTCCAGGAACTGAGTCCCATAAGGTTTATTGTTTCAGCGGGAAACCCATCCATACTATGACTTCCAGGTGAAGGTGCTGAAGGCCAAAAATATCCAGAACACAGACCTGTGTGAGTGACCCCATTTTTTCCCTTTTCCCCCTTCCCTTTCCAGAGCCTAGCAGAGGTGGGCTTGTGGAGTGAGCGTGTGTCTACTTAGAATGCGTGTGAAGGAGCCCAGAGTCAGGGTGTGGAGGGCAGGGCTGTGCAGAGTAAGGATGCCCTGAGTCCTGGAGGTGGGGCAGCACTGGCCTGGGTGAACTGTCAAGGCTTGCAGATGCCAGCAGTCACCAGCTGGCCTTCGGGAGGTTTCCATTTTAAGTGCTGCCCTGGAAGGGTCTTGTGCCTGGAATCAGGATGTTTCTAGGGATGACTCAAAGACTGCACTGCCATGTGGTCTTTTCAGCTAGCGGGCTTTTTGCCAGTTGAATGGGAGGTACAACTTGTGGGGATGGAGTCAGGACACCCGCTCTCCCCTGGCCACCCCGCACGAGGGCTGCGTGCTTGCCCTCTTTTCCTTCCCTGCCACCCCCATTGCCTCCAGCCTTTTCAGCAATAAGAATTAAGAGGCTGAGGACACCATCCCATCCCACACAGTGTCTGAAGCTGATTGCTTCGTGCAACTGTGGCTGCCCACGGCGTCCCCCAGCCCCACCAAGACAAGAACAGTGGACAACTGCAGTGACCCTGAGTGGAATGAGACCTTCTGTTACCGGATCCACGATGCTGTGAAGGTGAGGGCCAGCCAGGGGCCCGGGCTCTGAAGGGAGAGGGCTCCTCCAGGCTGCCTCAGGATCCCACCTCCTGCCTGCTCTGTTCCCAGAATGTTCTGGAGCTCACCCTCTATGACAAGGATGTTCTGAGCAACGACCAGCTCTCTCGGCTGCAGTTTGACCTGAGGGGCCTCGAACTGGGCCAGCCCCACAGACATACCTTCCTGCTCAACCAGCAGGTGAGCTGCCCTCTAGATGGGGAGGCTCAGCGCGGCAACTGAGGAGGGCCTCCAAGACATCTGCTCCTGCAAAGCTTTCCCTTCGGCACTTCCCTGTGTGAAGCCAATACGTGAGATGCTTGAGGCCACAGCACTGTCTCAGGCTTTGCTAATCCTCAGCATCCAGAACAGCATCTGGCTCACAGTTTTGAATGACTGTGGCTTAGAGACACAAAAATCCACAACAGATTCCTCTTCTAGTCCCTGGAGTTGAGCAGGGGTGGGGGTGAGATGGTCGCCGCGGCTTTTGAGCTTTAAAGACTAGTGCGCCCTTGCTTCCTCTGTAGGATTCACAAGAGCTGCAGGTGGAGTTTCTTCTGGAGAAGAGGTGAGTCTAGGTGGAGCTTGTGGCCGCCCATTTATGTTGACACTGACCACCCCCAGGTAGCTTTCAGTGCCCATGCCCTGCATTGGTGTCTCCTAGGAGGGGAGGCTTTCACTTTGGCTGATGCCATTATGCCCACCCCAAACCCTGCCATGTTCCTCAGCCTCTTCCAGATACTTGGGTCACATTATTATTTGTTTTTAAAGATTTAGTTATTTATGCACACAGAACTGGGGTACAGGCCAGAGGTGCAGGGTGAATCCTCTGGTGAGAGGATTCACCAGAGACAGAGTGGGAAGCAGAACAGGCCGACTGACAAAGTACACTGCTGAGGGGAAGCGGGTCAGAAGAGGTCTGCTGCAGATCCCCTCCGGGGTGGGGATAGAACAAGCGGCTGTGGCCAGCTTGCAGTGCTGCGCCCTTACCCGTTGCGCCACCAGGGAGGGCCTACTTGGGTCACATTATTATAGTAATAGCCATCTCGGGGGGGACCAGGTGTCCCATGAGCCTCTCATCCTTTGCAGTCAAGTGCCTGCATCTGAAGTCATCACCAATGGAGTCCTGGTGGTGAGTAAGGAAGCTGAACTTGGGGTAGCTCAGGTTTGTGAGGGCAATGAGGAGTCCATGATTGAGCCTGTCATGCCCACTTGCCTCTTAAGAACGCATAACCCTTTGGACTGGTCTTGCCAGGGATGAGGGACCTCAAAGTGCCTCGTGACAGAGTAGACATGCCAGAAGCCCTCCTTTTGACCTGTGTGGGTACAGTGCTCTTATGGGAACCTGGCTGCTGAGGTGCTGGGGGGCCATTAGCAGGGTCCTTTACCTTCTCTCCCTTCCACCGGGGGCCACTCTCTGAGTTGTAGGAGGGGGTCCCTGCTCACAGAAGACTTGTCCATAAGGCACAGCCCCTGCATAAGTTGTTACCTGGACCTACCCAGGCGTCCCTCCCTCACCCGCTCCCTATCTCCTAGGTGGAGCCCAGGGCTGGGCCTTGTGGTCTCCTAGGCACCCACAGGTGTCTTCTCTCCTCAGGCTCAGCCCTGTCTGAGAATCCAGGGCAACTTCGGGGGAGATAGGACAGCTTCATGTCAAGAGTATGGTGAGTCTTTGTTGCTTGGGGTCTTCTCTCCTGGGGTAGGAGGAGAGACTGCAGGAAGGTGGGTCTGGGGCACAGAGTTCTTAAATGCGTCATCTCTCCAAGTTAACCAGATTGCCTCTGCATGTAGTGAATGTCCTGTTCCTGGACATTTTCAAACATAGAAGTTATATGAGTCCAGGTACAGAATCTTAGTGGCAGCATTTATTTTGTTCACAATCAGCTGGAGCTTGGCTGACGTAGGCTGGGCTTGCTGGGAGTGACCTGGCCTGTTCTAGGTGCCCCCATTCACCTGCTGTGACCAGTAACCAGCCAGAAGGCATCGCTGGAGGCACAAAGGAACAAGCTCAAAGGAGCATGAAAAGGTTCAAACCTGTGGCCATGTCACAGCTGCAAACATTCTGTTGCCAAACCAAACCACCAGACCCACCCTCAAGTTGGAGGGTGGGAAGAGAGCCAGGCTCTTAGTGGGAAGTCATGCGGCACAGCTAGCACTCCAGGAGGAAGGACCGGGGCCTCCACATGGGGCAGGGTCTGGATCTGGGCGCTGAGTGTCTGGGCCTGTGGGAGGAGTCCCACCCGGATAACATCTAGAAGTTCCTATGAGTCAGGCATTGCACTGAGTACTTCACATGTCATATCTTTAATGTTCATGAAATGATGGTAGGTTTAATCATTATCCTCTTTTAATTTATGAGGCTGAGACTTAGAGACATTTGCTTAAGATCAACTGCCAGGAAGGGGTTGGGCAGGTGGCCTTCTAGAGTCCCCGCCACTCTCCATGCAGGCCCTGTCGTTCCCCACTATGACCAGCACAGATAGATCTCTGTAAATGTCTAATTGTGAAAGTGATACCACCTGCCTTATTTCCGCCAGGGCCCTCCCACCCCAGGGTCAGGTCAAGTCACCCTGTCTCACTGGGCGCCAAGGTGGGTGTAGGGAGAGGGATCCTCTGTGGGCCTAGCTGCTGGCCATCTGCTGTCCCAAATCCTTTGGGTGTGTGTTGCTCTGGTGCCATGTTGGGGTGTGTGTGTGGGGGGTCCCTTCTTCTTGGATATCATGCACAGCCATTTCTCTCAAGGGCTTCACCTCTTCCGCAAAAAGCTGCTAGGAACAAGGTGGGCCCTGCTTCTTTTTCTTTCTCTTTTTTTTTAAGATTTTTATTTATGCATACAGAACTGGGGTATAGGCCAGAGGTGTGGTGAGAGGATTCACCAGAGACAGAGTGGAGAGCAGAACAGGCAGATGTACTGAAATACACTGCTCAGGGGAGCAGCGGTGGGTGGGTCAGGAGAGGTCTGCCGCACCATGTGGGTCAGCTCCCTGGAGGGGGATTGAACTCGTGCCGCAGTGGCTTTGGAGAGCTTCATAATGTGGTGCTTTAACCCGTTGCACCACCAGGGAGAGCCTGGGATGGGCCCTGCTTCTGAACCCACTGGCCTCTATTCACCTCCTTCCAGCCTGACCTCACCTTCTAGCCTGGGCTGGCTCTCCCCTGCTCTCTGGGACACCTGTTGTCTCTGTCCCCACCAACCCACTTCTTCCTTGACTCCCTCTGCAAAAGCCAGCACATCTCTCTAACTACAAACTTCCCCTTAGGTAGTGAGCACAGTACTTGAATAGGGGACCAGAGATAGGGAACTACCAATTGAAAACTGGTAATTAATTATTATAGAATTATATTTGATATACTTAAATAATCTTAAAATCCTCAGCCCCATAAGTTCTGGCCAGAGAGCCCTCTTCTCCCCAGCCTCCCTCCCATCCTAGTGTTTCTTGGCCTCTGTCAGGGCCCCAGTTCTCACCAAGATCCCCAAGTGTCCAAGATGCCCTTACTATGGGTTGTGGTGTCAGAGAGTGAGCAGGGTGATGAGCTGGCGTTCCCAAGGGGAAGAGGAGGGCGAGGGAGTGTCACACCCCTCCCCTGTCCGCATCTCCCCCGGGCACTCACTGGTCTCTCTGCTCCCAGGCTCTAGGTACATTCGGCTGGCAGTGCCCGGGGCCTACGAGCAGCCACAGGTCTTGCCCCTGCAGCCTGCCAAGGAGACCGGCCACTCGCCCACCTTTTGCTTCCATGTGAATCCAGTGCTCCGCCCCACGCTAGAGGTGGAGCTGGGGGAGAAGCTCAAGGTCCTCCAGGTGAGTGAGCCCAAGCCAGGCAGGGGCCTGCGGCCAGCCAGGCTGGCCTGGAGGAGCGCCAGGGCCCACCTGGAGACGGGTTTCCCTCCACTCTGAAGTGGACCTTGGGTGTTTTCTTTTCCGCAGAGTGGCCCAAGCGCTGAGCTGGAGGCCCAGACAGACAAGCTGGGTGACGGGGGCGTCCTGCTTTCCTCGCTGCCCCTGGGCCAGGAGCAGAAGTGCGTCATCAGCCTGGGGAAGGTGAGGCCCTGTGCGGGTGCGCGAGGCCCCTGCCTGCTGGCAGCCACCAAGGACATTCTGGAGGAGGGGCTGGAGTGGGAGTAGGAACAGGCCGGTGCCAGGCTCAGCCCTGGTGTCTCCGTCTGGGTCAGAGTACCCAGAGTAGCAGCGTCTGCAAGTGGCACCATTCTGCTCAGCGTGCTCGGGTGTGCTGTTGTCTTTTCCAGGGCCAGGAGGTGACTCTGAGCATGAAGGCAGAAATGAGGTGAGCAGGACTTTAGGAGAAAGACCCTTGCACTGGGCTGGAAGTAGGGTGCTGCCTGCTCACTCCACCCCACATGAGGGGAGCGTGTCTGTATCTGCTGTGTTCTTCTGGTGCTTTGTGGCTGCGTCTAAGGAGTCCAACAGAGTGTAGACCTGCTCCTGTGAAAAATGGCGTTTGCCCAAGGCTCTGAACCCAGTGTCCCCCTTCCCCACCTCGACAGTTCTGAAGACCTTGACCTGCGACTTGGCTTTGACCTCTGCGATGGGGAACGGAAGTTTCTAGACAAGCGGAAGCATGTTGTGTCCAAGGCCCTCCAGCATGTACTGGGACTGAGCCAGGCGCCTGACAGCAGCCAGGTATGGAATGGCACAGCTGTGCCAAATGAAGGCCCTTCCGGAGACACGAAGAGGGGCTGCAGTGGGGATGGGGGGGGGTGGAGGGGGAGAGGATGGCGGGGGTGGGGTGCGCGTAGCTGACGCTTACCTGAGCTAATGGCATGATCAGGAGGCAGGGTCCCTTGTGGAAAGAGGGCCACACTAAGTGCCCTGGCCAAGGGGGATGTGTTAGTCAGCTCGGGCTGCCGCATCAGCGTGCAGCCACGGACAGGAGGCTTAGACAGTAGACACTTGTTTCTGACCCGGGGGCTGGGCCTTCAAGATCAAGGTACTCCCAGAACGGCCTCTGGTGAGGCCTCTCCCCCGAGAGAGTGCGTGGAGGGCTCATAGACAAAGTCTGACTTGTTGACAGTGGTTGTTTAGGTGCCGGTGGTCGCTGTCCTGGGCTCAGGGGGTGGAACCCGAGCCATGTCTTCCCTCTACGGCAGCCTGGCAGGGCTGCAGGAGCTGGGCTTCCTGGATGCCGTGACCTACCTGAGCGGGGTCTCTGGGTCCACCTGGTAAGCGAGGCGGGGCAGGGTGCAGAATGAATGAGCATCCTGAGGGAAGGGATAGGGCCGGGAGAGCTGATGGGATGGAGCTGGGGTCCTGCCTCCAGAGACTGGGAGGAGACAGGCTGAGTCCCCCAAGGGGTGGTGTAGGTCGGAGGGGCAAGTGATAGGCAGGAGAGGTTACTCAGACTCCTGCACCCCTGCCCCTGGCTATGCCCCCCACCCCTACTCACAGGCTCACCCTCCCTGCTCAGGTGCATCTCCACTCTCTACAAGGACCCGGCCTGGTCCCAGGGAACCTTGCAGGGTCCCATTGAGCGTGCTCAGGCTCGGGTCTGCAGCAGTAAGAAGGGGGTGATGTCCGCGGAGCGGCTGCAGTACTACGCCCAGGAACTGGGGACGCGGGAAAGCAGTGGCCACAGTGCCTCCCTCGTCGACCTCTGGGGTCTTGTTGTTGAGTATTTCCTGTACCAGGAGGTAAGAGAAGAACAGGTAATTAATAAACATGGCTGCTTCGAGTCCCTACCCCACCAGCGTTCAGTCCTGATGGAGGCCCGGGGATAGACTTGCTAACAGCAGCCACAGGGCTTGCGCTGTGTGTGGGCTTGCCAAGCTCGTCAGGCAGGCAGAGATCGAGGAGGAGGGCCTCGGCAAGCGCCCCACAGTCAGCCTGGGCCTGCCTGCCCCCGCAGGGCTCTCTGTCTCCAAGTGAGGACACCAGGTCCAGTCACTTGGGCCTGCCTGAGTTGGATCCCAGGCCTGGGGCACTGTCTCCCATGGTGCCTCCGACCTCTCCTATCTCCTTGCTGTTCCCCTTGCTGTTCTCCTGTCTCCTTGCTGTTCCCCTTGCTGTTCCCCTCCGTCTGAGGCTTGCAAAACTACCCCTCAGGCCTACCCTCCCTGGATGCAAGGGTGAGATCCTGGGGTGGGCCGGCCCCATCATCACTCTTGGCCCCTAACCCCCAGGGTAGAAGAGGTTGGGCTACAGTTCTCAGTTCTGTCCAGGGGTTAGAATCAACAACTCAGCTTTTCAAAGACCCTCAGGCCTGAGATACTGAGTTTGGTGACAGGGCGGGAGGTGGCGGACGGCGGGGGGTGAACCCAGCACAGGTATGTTTCGGAAGTGTCCCAAATGTTCCATCCTGGGCTGAGGCAGGACCCCCTCCTCCAAGTCAAGCAGCCGTGAGTCACGCCCACAGGTGGCGGCTCTGGTTCTGCAGGTCCAGCGTGTGCTGGGAGACGAGAAGATTCAGAGCTGAGGTTCTCAGCCCAGAGCCCTGGCTCCCTGGTGTGCGACTCTCACCTGCACATCTCTTGCTTCTCCAGCCTGAAGACTGGTCCTCAGAGTTGTGTCTAAAAGCACTGGCCTTGGCCACCAACACCCTTGTGCGCACCATGCCCCACCGGGTGCCAAAGCTCAGCATGGGCTGAGCACGCGGCCAAGTGACCTCCCTTCTTTCCTGCCCAGGAAAACCCGGCCAAGTTGTCTGACCAGCAGGAGGCAGTCAGCCAGGGCCAGAACCCTTACCCCATCTACTCCAGCGTGAACGTCCATGTCAACATCAGCGGGGAAGACTTTGCAGGTGCCTTGTGGGGACCTAGGAATCAGGTAGAAGTGACGGCAGGTCCGAGGGTGTAAGTGGCCCGGCTGGCACACTCCAGCAGCCTGGAGCACGGAGGACTGCTGCATCCTGCTCCCCACCAGGCAGACTTTTCCTGAGGAGCCAGGACCTGGGTGAAGGCTGGGATCCTAGTGGGAAGCCCCTGATGACGTTCCCTTTATTCCTCACCTCCAGAGTGGTGTGAGTTCACCCCCCATGAGGTGGGCTTCCCCAAGTATGGGGCCTACATTCCCACGGAGCTTTTTGGCTCAGAGTTCTTCATGGGGCGATTGCTGCAGTGTCGGCCTGAGCCCCGAATCTGCTACCTTCAGGGTGAGTCTAGGATGGAGGGCCGGGCACAGGGCAGGCGTGGGCCAGGCCTGGTATGGGATAGCACAGTCGGAAGGGCTTGCTTGCTTTTCTTCACAGGTATGTGGGGCAGCGCCTTTGCAGCTAGCCTGGACGAGATCTTCCTGAAGATAGGTGGTTCTGGCCTGGGTTTCCTAGACTGGCACAGAGACAGTATAAACATCACAGGTAGAGACCTTGAAACCATGCCCCCCCCACTTCCTGTACACACCTCTTTCTAAAACCCCTCACATACACACCTCTTTCCAGCAGTAGAACCCTGCAAGAGGCATGAGAGGAGGCTTTGTGAAAGACCTGGCTGTCCCATTGACCCAGGGATATGCTAAGTTCCAGTTAGGGTTTCTAGAAGCCCAGAGGCGTGACTTGGGGGCTGAAGGGGCACCCACATCAGCAAATCCAAAAGGAGTTGTGAGTTCTCAGTGATAAGATTACACCTTCAAGTTCTCTGCTTTGGACTTCAATTAAGTCAACTCAGCCTGGGGTGCTGGGTGACAGGTTGACCTCTGAGCACACCCGCGAGGCTCCCCTTCAGCCTGCTCCTCCAACAGCCGGTTATTTCCCTGATACTTCCATATATTTCCACCTTTCTTCCCTGGGTACCTTTGGCTCAGCAATTAAGATTTAGTTCTGACACCATTTGGTCGTCTTCTCAGTCCTGCTCCATCCCTCCAAGGCTGATAGATGATCTTACCTGGAGGCCCCACCCTCCTTTTTTTTTTTTTTTGCCCAGCATATTGTTAGAATTCATTGTCTGTGTGACTCTCCCCTAAGTAAGCTGTGAGCACAGTGCCTGAGGTCATAACTGCTCAGTAGTTTAAAAGAATTTTAAAAATCCTCTTAAATATATATCATTGCATGTATACATTTTGGTACAATGTTTGATTTCTCCTCTCAGGTGTATTCCCCATAAAATTCCCATCACCCAGTCACCTGTGAACCATCACCATTGTCTCTTGTACTTGTCACTCTCCTGGTTTAATCTCTCTCCCTCACCTCCCTTGCTGAATGTCACTGGTTTACTTATCGCCTGCTAATTATGTCTTTCTTTTTCTCCTGATCCCTTGTTTGGGTCCCCTATATCCCTCCTGTGAGTGAAACCACCAGGTATTTTTCTTTTTCATTCTGACTTACTTCACTAAACACAATTCCTTCCAGCTCCATCCATGTTGCTGCAAATGGCATGAGTTTATATATATAAAGATTTATTTATTTATTTGTACATACAGAACTGGGGTACAAGCCAGAGGCACAGGGGTAATGAGAGGCTTCACCAGAGACAGAGTGGGGAGCAGAACAGGCAGATCGACAAAGTACACTGCTGAGGGGAGCAGCAGGCGGGTCAGGAGAGGTCTGCCGAACCATGTGGTCATCTCCAGGGCAGGCGGGGATCGAACTGGCACTGAAGCGTCTGCAGATCACTTGCAGTGCTGTGTCCTTACCCATTGTGCCAGCAGGGAGGCCGAGTTTATCTTTTTGATTTCTGAATAGTATTCCATTGCGTCTATGTATCGCATCTTCATGATCCAGTCATCTGTTGGGACATTTAGATTGTTTCCATGTCTTAGCTATTGTACATAGTGCTGCAATAATCATAGCAGTGCAGTTTTCTTTTTGAGTTAGTGTTTTTGTGTCCTCTGGGTAGAGTCCTAATTGTGGGTCATATGGAAGCACTAATGGATGAAATTCTGATTAGAAGTTGTTGTAGTATTTCCAAAAGATGGGAAATAAATTATCTAACAAATGTAATTTCATGAAGACCTTTTGAAACATGACACACATGAAAGAGTAAGTCATTTAAGTTTAGGAAGCACGGTCACAGGCCGGAGAGGTAGGGGAAAGGAGGGGGATTATGGGGGTGCCAAATAAAGGGCTGATTATACCTCTCTGTCCCACCCGCACTAGACAGCTGCCAGAAGCTGCAGCTGCACGACCCCTCCAGGCTGCAAACCAGGCTCTTCACGCCTCAGGGTCCCTTCTCCCAGGTGGTGCTTGACCTGTTCACCTCCCGCTTTACTTCTGCGGAGAACTTTAACTTCACCCGGGGCCTCTGCCTGCACAAGGACTATGTGACTAACAGGGAGTTTGTGGCCTGGAAAGGTGGGTGCTGCTCTGGGTGGGCCCCTGTCACCCGTGCCTCCTTTGGCCTGGGATTGGGGCATGACCTCCTGCCCTGGGGCTGGTGGGAGAAGACAGTGCTGGAAGGCAGGTGTGGGCTGGAATGGGGAACCCTGTGGGTCAGCTGGAGGGGAGAAGTAGAGAGCTTTCCAGGTAGTGTCTTCCCAGTTCCAAGGGAGGATGGCTGCTGCCTAGAGCAAACAGTTGTCTCTGCTCAGACGCACACCCGGACGCCTGCCCCAACCGGCTCACTCCCATGCTGGAGTGCCTCTACCTGGTGGATGGTGGCTTCGCCATCAACTCTCCGTTTCCGCTGACCCTGCAGCCACAGAGAGCAGTGGACCTCATTCTGTCCTTTGACTACTCCCTGGACACCCCTTTTAAGGTAAGGGGTGTGAGCCCTAGAGGTGAGTGGATTGGGGTGGAGGGGGTGGAAAGGTCTCTGCTGAGGCGGCCTGGCTGGGTGTTGGGGGATGGCCCTTTGGGGAAGGCCTGGGTTCACATCTGCCAGCGGGGTGCCTTGTGAACTGTTAGCAGC